GTTATTTGTTGTGGTTTTTTTATTTTTTTAAATAAAAGTCAGGGTCGTTCGTTTGTGGAGAGGATCGAACTTCACTCGTAACTCGGTTCTCAGGTTGTGCGGGAGTCGTGGTGGGGCTGGGGAGGGACATTCATAACCAGTCCTTGACTCACAATAGACCTCAGTTAGGCGAAAGAGGGGCAGTTTCCCCCTTGCAAAGTGCGAATCAACTTGACTACAACTTCAGAAGAAACCAAATTCCTTTGTTTTTCACCGCGGCAGGGGGCGGGGAGCAGGGCCCTGCATAGCCCCTGAAGGGTGTGTGGGGAGATGGGGGGGCAGGCTCTGAGGGGAAGGCACAGAGGTGGTGACCACAAGGAGGTCAGAAGGAAGAAAAAATACTGTAAGAACGTAAAAAAAAATCCTTCACCCTGCGAGCTGTTAAGCACTAAAAGAGGGTGTTGGGGGAGGCAGTAGAGTCTCCAGCCTTTGGGATAGCGGGAGCTGGACGGGACAAAGCTCTGAGCAGCTGAACGGAGGTGGGAAGGGACTTCCAGAAGTCCTTTCCAGCCCAGTTTGTCTTATGATTATGTGCAAAGGAATTGGGCTCTGGACCAGTGTGGTGTGGGAGAGAATTTCTGCTGCAAGATCCGGTCTGTGGGTGTGCACAGCCACATCAAGAAAAGCGTTTTCTATTTGAGAAACAGACAATAAAGACACAGAATGAGAAATAGTTGTAACTTGGGCAAAAGGTTTCCCAGGCTTATGTTCTTCTTAGTTTATAAGTTTTCTTAGTTTATGTTTTTCTGAGGTTTGATTGGGTGCTTCACACAGTGTCACCCAGAAGCTTAGCTACAGGAGAAAGTAACCTGACATATTTAATGACAGTTCCTTGTCTAAAGCTATGGGTACAAATCCTAACGTAGACACTGTGATATCAAAATAGCCTTCCTATTTTAGCTTATAAACGGTGAAATATATCCCTCCAGATCGTGTGTATCAGTATTGATGTGTCAACAAGTATTGTCTGTACACGTGTTGTTTTGGATGATTAACTTCTCATTTGAAGTACCAAATAGAGATGTGTCCAACCTGTTTTGGTATGTTTCAGTGGTTGTGATCACACTGACTCTTCCCTCTCCTCTTAATCCTGGTGGTTAAGAATTATTCTTTATGGTATCCTCACACTTGATTAATTATTATTATTTTTTCCCCAAGGAAGAATTAAGCAGTGTTATTGAGAATTGAGAGGTCTCTGATGCTGCTAAGATGTAGGTGATGGCTCAAGTCAAAACTGTAGCTTTTTAGCATTATGTGACTAACGCTCATTTGGGGGTTGTTGTGTGTGTAACACCTGTGAGAACAAGAGGTAGACAAACATTGAGGGGTAGGATGAAACAGGTCCTGTGAAGCAGGAGCAGAAGTGCTGCATGGTGTATCTCTGTGACGTATGGATGCGCAGTCTCCTGCTTTGGCGAGATGAGTTAGTTGGGACCCTGAATGTACTGTGGCAGAGGAAGTGGGTACAGCACATCTTAGAGCTGACGTAAGGACCTCCTCGGAGGTAGAAAGGAGTTTTCTGAACTAATATCTTTCTGTTAAGTCTTAATTTTTTATTTTTAAAAGAAATGTTAATGCTGGACAGTGAGGACTCTGTGAATAAATCTGGTGGAGGTGGTGAAGTATCCCAGTTGTGGCATACTAATGTACTTGCATAAATGGGCTACTTGAGTTTGTTCCCTGCCCTGGGAAAGTCTTGCAGTTTGGGTAAGGAAATGGGGAAATATGTGTTCCCAGAGGGATTTGGTAGTGTGTCCTCTTTATCTTTGGTGATAGACTATTGCACCAGTTAATTTAGTTACTGGGGGCACACAGGTACTTGGTTCAGCGATGAGAAAAGGCAGGACTGTGAGGTGCAGACGTGAAGGTGTCAGTAGATACCTGGATAGATGGATAGGGAGTGTTGGGGAGGAGCATGGTCACAGCTTGCTTGGAAGCTCACTTCTCAGGGAGGTGCAGCAGAGATGCAAAACGAGGCTTTCTGTGTAGGTAGGTAAAAGCTCCTCTGATGGCGTTTCCTGAAATGCCCCTGGTGTCACCTGCAGGGAAATACAAGGTCAGGCATACAAGAGTCCCACTGTGTAAGTGTGGTATAGGAGGAGAGTGTTCAGACTCACTGGGAGCTACAGGAACGTGGAACAGAGGGGAGCTTGTGCAGAGAGGAAAAACTTCATCTGGAGAAAATAAAAACCAGGCTTCTGGCACTCAAAATTGAAAAGCTTTCATAGGGGAGTCTTTAACAGTTTCTTAAAGGCAGAGTGTCAGGTGTGGAAGAGCACACAGTTTGGGATGGTGCGTTTTGTTGGGGAGAGGTTTTAAGATCTGTGTGCCTTTGGACAAGTGTCAGGGTTGAGGCTGTCAGAACCTAGTGGAAATGGCAAAGAGTAGTTTGAACAAACAGTGATATTTCAATAGGGATGAGGAGGAGAGCGGAAGAACAGTGTGGCTGGACCAAAGCTTGTGTGCTTCTACAGTGTCATGGTTTAACCTCAGCCAGCAACTGGGACCACACAGCTGCTCACTCACCCCTCCGTGGTGCGATGGGGAAGGGAATCAGAAAAGTGAGAAAACTCCTGGGTTGAGATAAAGACAATTTAATAAGTAAAGCAAATTGTGTGCATGCAGGCAAAGCAAAACAAGGAATTAATTCACTACTACCCATTGGCAGGCAGGTGTTCAGCCATCTCCAGGAAAGCAGCAATGGTTACTCGGTAAGACAAACGCCATCACTCTGAACAACGTTCCCTTTCTTCTTCCCCCAGCTTTATATATTGAGTGTGATGCCATGTGGCATGAAACATCCCTGTGGTCAGCTGTCCCAGCTGGGTCTCCTCCCAAATTCTTGTGCCCTCCCAACCTGCTTGCTGGTGGTGCTGTGTGAGAGTAGGCAGGTGTTCGGCATCTCCAGGAAAGCAGCAATGGTTACTTGGTAAGACAAACGCCATCACAATGGTTACTCGGTAAGACAAACGCCATCACTCTGAACAACGTTCCCTTTCTTCTTCCCCCAGCTTTATATATTGAACAGCCTTCCCTTTCTTCTTCCCCCAGCTTTATATATTGAGTGTGATGCCATGTGGCATGAAACATCCCTGTGGTCAGCTGTCCCAGCTGGGTCTCCTCCCAAATTCTTGTGCCCTCCCAACCTGCTTGCTGGTGGTGCTGTGTGAGAAGCAGAAAAGGCCATGACTGCTCAGCAACAATAAGAATATGTGTGCTGCCAACAGTATTCCCATCCCAAACCATAGCACTACACCAGCTGCTAGCAAGAAAGTCATCTCCATTCCAGCCAAAACCATGACATACAGACAAATCTGGAAAGTACAACAGGGAACTGGAGCAGCTGGTTTGAAATGGGAATGCTTATCCAAAAGGCTTATCAGGCCTGTCAGTGGGACCTTCTAACGCTAGGGCACAAGTTACACAGGAAAGATGGAATAGCTCAACCCAAGGGAGAAGTGGCAACGTGTGTTGAAGAAAGCTTTAATGTTAAATCTGATTCCTGGTGGGTTTTGTCAGCAAAAGTCATCTGGACTGAAATACCAGCCCTGTGGAGAAAAAACAGCCTGGTTACTGACCACCCAACGTGATGGAGGGAATGACCACTCTGTTAAGGAAGATCAGAGGGGCAGCAAGGATTTGGATGGAAGAGCAAAAGAAGAATTATTTACCCTCACGCAGGTTGGATCACACACATGAGGATGTGACGCTGAGTGCAATCGTTCAGATGCCACAAATTATGACTTTTTAGAGCCACAGCTTGGAGACCCATGAGAAAAGCAGCAGTTCTTGACTTGATCCAGAGCACGTTCCTGGTGGGTTTCGACAGCGAAAGTCATCTGGACTGAAATACCAGCCCCGTGGAGAAAAACCAGCCTGGTTAGTGACCACCCAACGTGATGGAGGGAATGACCGCTCTGTTAAGGAAGATCAGAGGGGCAGCAAGGATTTGGATGGAAGAGCAAAAAGAAGAATTATTTACCCTCATGCAGGTTGGATCACACACATCAGGGTGTGACCCCGAGGGCAATCGTTCAGATGCCACAAATTATGACTTGAAGAATTATTTACCCTCACGCAGGTTGGATCACACACATGAGGATGTGACGCTGAGTGCAATCGTTCAGATGCCACAAATTATGACTTTTTAGAGCCACAGCTTGGAGACCCATGAGAAAAGCAGCAGTTCTTGACTTGATCCAGAGCTGTACTCAGGTGATTGGACTCAGATGTTGCTTTAGAACAGTCAGAACAGTAGTTTTAATATTCTTGCAGGAATAATAAAAGCCAAAGAAAGAACTGATGCATTTGATTTCGGAAGGGAGAATTACATAAGATGAGGAGGCTCATTAATTCACATATGGGTTAAATATAAAAACCAGAATAAGGCATATGAAAAGAGTTTGAGAAACAGCTTGCAAAAGGGATAAAACCATCCATAAATCCTTTTTTTCTGATGTGCTGGGGCAGGGCAGGGAGAGATGGCCACAAAATTGGTAAGGCTGGATGAAGGAAAGATCCACCAAGGAGAACAAAACGATGGCAACTGTGGTTCATAGATCCCTTGAGCTAAAGGTTCTTGGAAACTAGGAGACTAGTATCAAAGGAGCAGAGGTGGGTGCCCTGTTCCCTGGGTGACATCTGACACTGGGTGGTGTCAGAGCGAAGATGTTGGCTGGGTAAATGTGAGGCCTGACCCACTGTAGCCTTTCTAATGTAAGGCAGGGAAAAAGAGCTCCTGCACCAACTGTTTGCCCCTGTAATACATGCACTCTGTCACTCTCCAGGTCATGTGGAAAGAACTGATGCATTTGATTTTGGAAGGGGGAATTACATAAGATGAGGCGGCTCATTAATTCACATATGGGTTAAATATAAAAACCAGAGTAAGGCAGACAAAAGGAGTTTGAGAAACAGCTTGCAAAAGGGATAAAACCATCCATAAATCCTTTTTTTCTGATGTGCTGGGGCAGGGCAGGGAGAGATGGCCACACATTTGGTAAGACTGGATGAAGGAAAGATCCACCAAGGAGAACAAAACGATGGCAACTGTGGTTCATAGATCCCTTGAGCTAAAGGTTCTTGGATACTAGGAGACTAGTATCAAAGGAGCAGAGGTGGGTGCCCTGTTCCCTGGTTGACATCTGATACTGGGTGGTGTCAGAGCGAAGATGTTGGCTGGGTAAATGTGAGGCCTGACCCACTGTAGCCTTTCTAATGTAAGGCAGGGGAAAAGAGCTCCCACACCAACTGTTTGCCCCTGTTGTACATGCACTCTGTCACTCTCCAGGTCATGTGCTCAGAGTAACTAGGAAAACCCTAATTCACAGTCTTCCATGGGAGGGAGCACACACTTCTCTGAAATCCTCCTTTGTTGTCATAATATCCCCAAGTTTGTCAATTTTGCACGGCCAGTGGCATCACAGGGGCAAAGAAATATTGAAAGAAGCATGAATATTTGTTTCACTGTCCCTTCCAGAAACTAGTTATCTTAAAATATCTTAAGTCTTACTCTTTATCTGAAAATGCTACAATTTTTTGGAAGGCATTCTACTTAATCTCTTCAGTTTGTGGCTTATTTTAAGGTGGTGAGGCATCTTTGCAGTCAACTTGACCAATGCTCAAAACTTAAAACTGGGAAAAATGTTTGTCTGTATGGCAGGGAAGGGATGCCACACAGTACTAACAGGATGTGTGCCTCTCAAAAAAAAAAAAAAACCCAACAAATTAATCTTATTGCATAAGAGTCCAAAAAAAGTTCAAAATGCATTGGGCAAACTAAGATGACTACAGCTTCTGTCTTCCAGCTTGTTTCCCAGTTGGTGTGAGACCAGGAGGCAAATGTTCCTACACGGGCATCCTTGCTCTGCATGCTGAGATGACAGAGTCATGGGATGGCTGAGGTTGGAAGAGGGCTCTTGGATCATCCAGTCCAACCTCATCCTCAAGCAGGGCCACCTAGAGCACGTTGCCTAGGACCACATCCAGTCACGTTTTTAATACCTCCATGGATGAATACTCCACAACCTCTCTGGGCAACCTGTGCCGATGCTTGACCTGCCCTCACAATCAAAAGCATTTTCTTATGTTCAGACTGAATTTCCTGTTTTTTAAACTTGTACTTACAAGGCTCTGTGCCATTTAAAAGAGGTGTGATAAACGTCAGCCTGGACTTGGAAAAGGGGAAGGCTGAAGCGTCCAAAAAAAGTTCAAAATGCATTGGGCAAACTAAGATGACTACAGCTTCTGTCTTCCAGCTTGTTTCCCAGTTGGTGTGAGACCAGGAGGCAAATGTTCCTACACAGGCATCCTTGCTCTGCATGCTGAGATGACAGAGTCATGGGATGGCTGAGGTTGGAAGAGGGCTCTTGGATCATCCAGTCCAACCTCATCCTCAAGCAGGGCCACCTGGAGCACGTTGCCTAGGACCATGTCCAGTCACGTTTTTAATACTCCGCAACCTCTCTGGGCAACCTGTGCCGATGCTTGACCTGCCCTCACAATCAAAAGCATTTTCTTATGTTCAGACTGAATTTCCTGTTTTTTAAACTTGTACTTACAAGGCTCTGTGCCATTTAAAAGAGGTGTGATAAACGTCAGCCTGGACTTGGAAAAGGGGAAGGCTGAAGCAATGCAGGGTGTCCACCTGAGGTCTGAGGAACATCATGGGAGCCTGGAAGTGCTGCTGTTCATACTGCAGCCAGTACCAGTTCTAATTCATGCTAACTCAATATACAGTATTTTTAATTCCAGAGGGAGCTCTTTGATTGATTTGTACGATGAAATACCAGAGTATTTTCATGTGAAAAAAATGTGTTCAATGTGGATTAGCTGTCAGGCACAGTTAGTGGAGGTTTTGATGCGGGCTCAGCAGTTTTAGGCTCATCTCATGAAGGATTGTGCTCCCTGCTGTTGGTTAAAGTGGGAATATCTGGATTTTTTATTTTTTAATTTTTTTAAATTTGAGACACTTTTCTTTCTACTTTCCTTTTTTTTTTTTTCTTTGTTTTTAAAGGCAGCTGGGCATCCCTGTTGCCTCTAGTGGGTGATGAAATCTCTTACTGTTTGCCTGTAAATAAGGTTATGTTTTCATCTGGACTGTCAAAATAAATGGCTGTTACTGAGAATTCTGTCTTCCAGCTTGTTTCCCAGTTGGTGTGAGACCAGGAGGCAAATGTTCCTACACGGGCATCCTTGCTCTGCATGCTGAGATGACAGAGTCATGGGATGGCTGAGGTTGGAAGAGGGCTCTTGGATCATCCAGTCCAACCTCATCCTCAAGCAGGGCCACCTAGAGCACGTTGCCTAGGACCACATCCAGTCACGTTTTTAATACCTCCATGGATGAATACTCCACAACCTCTCTGGGCAACCTGTGCCGATGCTTGACCTGCCCTCACAATCAAAAGCATTTTCTTATGTTCAGACTGAATTTCCTGTTTTTTAAACTTGTACTTACAAGGCTCTGTGCCATTTAAAAGAGGTGTGATAAACGTCAGCCTGGACTTGGAAAAGGGGAAGGCTGAAGCAATGCAGGGTGTCCACCTGAGGTCTGAGGAACATCATGGGAGCCTGGAAGTGCTGCTGTTCATACTGCAGCCAGTACCAGTTCTAATTCATGCTAACTCAATATACAGTATTTTTAATTCCAGAGGGAGCTCTTTGATTGATTTGTACGATGAAATACCAGAGTATTTTCATGTGAAAAAAATGTGTTCAATGTGGATTAGCTGTCAGGCACAGTTAGTGGAGGTTTTGATGCGGGCTCAGCAGTTTTAGGCTCATCTCATGAAGGATTGTGCTCCCTGCTGTTGGTTAAAGTGGGAATATCTGGATTTTTTATTTTTTAATTTTTTTAAATTTGAGACACTTTTCTTTCTACTTTCCTTTTTTTTTTTTTCTTTGTTTTTAAAGGCAGCTGGGCATCCCTGTTGCCTCTAGTGGGTGATGAAATCTCTTACTGTTTGCCTGTAAATAAGGTTATGTTTTCATCTGGACTGTCAAAATAAATGGCTGTTACTGAGAAGTGATGAGTTAAGTACTACTTTTGAGTGACTTAAGTGCCATTTGTATTTTCACAGTACTTACTGTAAAAGAGGAAAACTGCATCGCTGTCGGTGGTTTATAAATTGTCATGAAGTTCCACATTTGCCAGTTTTTCTTCACGTGTCTCTTATGATAACATGGTGTGTGAAAAGGTTATGCAGAATCAATGGGTGTGTGACAGTGAACTTGTGTTGCATTGCGTGCTAAATGGGAATGACATGGGGTAGGAATGACAAAAGTAACTGGGGATAGAAATGCTGTATTTCTTTCCCTTTCCATTTGTACAGTTCTCATACCTTACATATTTGTCTGTTTATGTGAACTGTGAGTATAGATTTTCCACATGTTGGTTTTTTCCTCTTTCCCCAGGAAAATAGGTCATACTAGAGACTTCAATCAGAAACATATGGAAATTAACTCTTTATTCCTTTTTATGAATCCTTTGTAGGAAGAACAAACTTTATTTATTCTCTGTTATAATAAGGAAGATTATTTTTTTTTTGCAAAAAGACTATATCACCTTTTCCTAATCAGTAACATTGCCTTCTTTTCTTTATTTCACTAGTTATTGGACAGCCTACGAAGAGCAAGCGTCCAAAAGAACATGGGGAAAACAAAATCAAGCCTGTTAACAAAAAAGTAAAACCCAAAATGCCCAAAATGAAGGAGAGAGAATCTGCAGACTCCTCTTTGAAGTCCCAGTCCATACTGACACAGGTGATGGATAAAGGTCGTTTCCAGAAACTAGCTGCCACTTTAAGCCTGTCTGCAGGACAGAGCCTAGAGCTGCGGTGTAAGGGGAGTAATGTTACTTGGAACTACCCTTCATACCTGGACACCTTTAAAGACTCCAGACTCAGGTAAGCTATTTTTCATTTTGGGGGAAAAAAAAATCCAGCACTTTTTTTTTTCCTTAGCACTTTCAACAACATTGTTTTGTTGGTTTGTTTATTTACATTTTTACAATCAAGAGGTTCCACTTCGTGGTTTCTAATGTCAACAAAAAAGGATGAGCATCTTTCAGTCCTCGCCAGTTACTGGCCTGTGATTTGCACTGTGGAAAAGTCCTGTAACGTGTGGACTGGATTTCCTTCAGACCAGTCTGAAATAGAAGATGAATCCAGCAGGACAGCAGTGTGCTCCAGCCACCAGCAGGGAGCCACATTAGAGCTAGTTTGAAGTAAGACTCAAAATCCACGAGGCTGTCAGGTACTCACTACCAACTGTGCTGCTTTACAGAGACCTGCTACTGGTGGGCTGTACTGGTTGCTCATGAAGGTACCACCCGAGACACTAATATTAATTTCCTGAAAAGGCTCAAACCCACATCTCTCAATTAGAAAAAAAATACACCAACCGCCATGCTAAGGAGCAAGTAAGAGTGGTCTTTATTTTTTCAGTCAAAGCTACCTTTGTGTGCCAAAGGGAATTGCAGGGTTTGTGGTGTAGCAGAGTTTAATGCAGAGGATTGTCACCTTGGGTTTAGGAAGGGTTTTTCTTTCATCTAGTGGTGTCTTAGTGGAAACTGTATAAGTAGTTGTTAGAGCAGGAAGAGGAACTGAGGACTCTCCCTTTCTCTGCCCCACCAGGTGGGTGTCCTGTTGCTCTATAAACATCTTCTCCAAAACCCCATATAGTTGTTTGCCTTGCCAGTTTTTGAGAATAGTGCACATAATTATATGTAGTAATTTAGTTCTGAATTCGAAAGAGGAGGGGCGTATAAGGAGCTTAAGGATGGCTTCCACAGGCTTGTGTGTGCCATGAGCAGTGTTTGTTTTCACAGGTTGCTTTATGGAGATTTACGTGTCTGTAAAAGACAAGTAGTGAGGAGACTGGAGCACTGTGAATGATACCCTAGGAAAGAGCTGTAAGGAGCTTTTCTTGGATTATTAGCTGAGAGGCACAGAGGTATGAGCAAAGTATCAACTCCTGTTGTCCTTGTGTTCCTAAATTAAATACAAGTGTGTATGCTCCCTGCAAATAACTGAGGTTATGTGATTCTCCGTGATCCGTTTCACTTAGTTGCAGGTATGACAATGCCTTAAAATCACTCCCAGTTAATGACTTTTTCAGATGTAGTCTTCTCCTTTCCACTTCTCTTTTCAAAGAGGAGTGTTGGAGATTGGCAGTTACAGACTGTGATAGAAATTCAGAAATTCATGAGTCAGTTCTCCTCTTGAGTGTTTATTTGTTTGTTCCCTGAAGGCTGAGAAATTCAAGAACCACAGTGGCTGAATAAACCTCTGTGGGTAGTTCAAGGCTTCTGTTGCTGTAAGTTACAGCAGCAACCCTGTTTCTGCTCAGGGTTTCTCACAGCAATATCCCTTAAAAGATCCTGTGGCCGATTTAAACAACCACTGCATTTTCTTTTGCAAGAAAAAATGTTTTGTCTGGATTTATTCCAGTAGGTGGCGTTTATCAGCTGCAATACGGACCTGGATGTGCAGAATAGTATCAACAGGGAGAGTGTGTGTGTGTAGAAATTCAAGAACCACAGTGGCTGAATAAACCTCTGTGGGTAGTTCAAGGCTTCTGTTGCTGTAAGTTACAGCAGCAACCCTGTTTCTGCTCAGGGTTTCTCACAGCAATATCCCTTAAAAGATCCTGTGGCCGATTTAAACAACCACTGCATTTTCTTTTGCAAGAAAAAATGTTTTGTCTGGATTTATTCCAGTAGGTGGCGTTTATCAGCTGCAATACGGACCTGGATGTGCAGAATAGTATCAACAGGGAGAGTGTGTGTGTGTTTGTGTGCTGGTGGCTCTCGTTTTCAAGAGTATCTTATGTTTTATGCATTTGCAAATAGCCTGCTGGCATGATTTGGTCCTGTAGGTCATGTTATCTGAGTGTTAGCGTCTGGCATTGAAGAAGACAAGGCAAGTGTTCAGGTCTTGGGAGAGGAATCTGCATGCTTCTTCAGTATTTGTTTGGCTGTCTATTCCTCTCTTGCACAATCAAGTACTTTTCTAGTGATGCAGGTGAGAAAAAACAAGAATTTAAGGTACTTTGGGAGGAAAAAAAAATAAGCATTTTCTAATTGTGTAGTTTGGCGCTTTGTAGTTGGAAGTAGTTTGGGATTGTGTTGCCTCAGCAATTTACTTCATTTGCAAATAGCCTGCTGGCATGATTTGGTCCTGTAGGTCATGTTATCTGAGTGTTAGCGTCTGGCATTGAAGAAGACAAGGCAAGTGTTCAGGTCTTGGGAGAGGAATCTGCATGCTTCTTCAGTATTTGTTTGGCTGTCTATTCCTCTCTTGCACAATCAAGTACTTTTCTAGTGATGCAGGTGAGAAAAAACAAGAATTTAAGGTACTTTGGGAGGAAAAAAAAATAAGCATTTTCTAATTGTGTAGTTTGGCGCTTTGTAGTTGGAAGTAGTTTGGGATTGTGTTGCCTCAGCAATTTACTTTTCTGTTCTCACTCAAGTTCATGCTATTTGTAACATTTTAACCATATAGCAAAAGTTAATAATTTTACACAAAAGAAATGCTGTAAAACATTTTGTCTGGGTGGGTGTAACATGCCTAAATATTTATTTTCTTTTAGAAGTATGTTAGGCTGATATATAAGGGATATATTGAAATATGGTGATCTTTGCTTTTGAAGAATTATTTTGAAATAAGTTATTGGAGCAGTAAGGCTGAGTTAAGCTGAATCAACAGTTTTAAATGTAAGCAGAAGATCCTATAATTAACTAGAGAAATTAAAAACATAGATTAGTAGGTACTTCAGAGTTAGAGTAGTAATAATTCATGGAGACATTGACCACAGAATCTTGTGCAGTTATGTTTTCATCACATTTTTAGCACGACCTTGTTAATTACCTCAAGATCTTTGCTGCAGTGCTAATAGATGCATATGAAACAAAGTCTACTTTATAAAATGTGAAAAATGAAAATAATATTTTGTGGTTTTAGAAAGCTTTGATTGAATTTAACTGGAAATACCATAAAGATAGCATGTTATTTATTAGCTCAGTTGGTAGTGTTTGTGAGTGAACTGGCAGCAGAAAAGGTTATGAACGATGTCATCTTTCAAAAGCTTAGATCTTCCTCGTGATGTACAAAAGACCATGCACTAACTACAGTAGGCAAATTTTAAAATTTCATGAATAGATTACATCTGTTATTTTAAAACAAAATGCTGAATATAGGATGAAGGGGGAAAATTATTATTTTTTAATTATAGAACTTACAGCAAAAATTGTTTAATCATCTAGATAGATATATGTCCAGTATCTTCTAACATTTTTTGAGTGCTTAGAGACCAGTTATAAGGTAATCCCTTCACTACCAATTAGTGGGGTGTGGAGTGAAACTCTAGCTAATTAACTGGGTTGGGCTATTTTACTTTGGATTTCCGTACTGGTCTTGCTGGAGTTGTGGCACCGGTGCAAGCCAGAGCTGGTGGCAGCAGCACTGGGGAAATGGTTGCGTTCTGAGGAGGAAACAGAGAGTGAAGAAGGACCAGGTTGCTGGGCCAGAGGATAAGTGACGAGGAGGGGTAATGGCAATAAGGTCCAGGCAATTGCTGGGGACTAATGGCTGCAGTTCTTTTGTTCATTTGTACATCCCTACAGCTCAGACATCCAATTCCTGTTTTTTCTTTCAGTAATAGGAGGGATGTGCAAATTCAGCTGGTCTGGTGGGAATTTTAACAGCAAGCAAGGTGTTCTACATCTCCTGTGAACTGCTAACATCCTCTAACTCTGGCTGCCACAAGGGGAGGCTTTAAGGACCCTGGCACCTAGCGAAATTGGAATTACAGGAGGCAGACGAGACCTTAAGGTTCAGGGTGGTGAGGGTGTTTGTAGCTCAGCTGGTCAGAGGGTTAGTTAATAGCAGAGGTCCAGGGCAGGAGCTGATACTGAAGGTGCAAGCTCACCATGTTCTTTTTCCTGTCTGTAGCTCTGGGAGAACTACAGGGTGTTTTGGTTTGCAACTAGTTAAATGTAGCATCCATGTAGTGTATTTCCTATGGGTAGTTGGGAGAAAAAAAAAAAAAAAGGAGGGCTAAAAGCCAGATGTTTTGTCTCCATGCCATGCTCATCACGTTCTTAACTCACCCATATGGTAAGGAGAGAATACAGCAGCCTGGAGGACAACGTGACTTTTCTGAGAAGGAAGAGACTATAATTAGGCCATTTCTGTAGTATTAGTGTCTGTACTTTCTTTGAGTTTGTTGTTGTAGGTATACTTTATGACCTGGTAAATAAAATATTTTTGTTTGCTCTACTAGAGAGTCTCAGTTTTTAATAGGTCTATAGTTGTTAACATATGCTAAAATTGCCATATGGGAGGAGGGAGAGCCGCTGAGTGAAAGGAAGAGAAGGGCTCTTTGGCTGTTTCTTATTGCACTGGAGGAGAAACCCTCCCCAGTATCCCTACTGGAGTAAATACCAGTACAGACTGAAGTGATTTACTTAGCTTTAGAGACTAGCATGCCATGCAATGCTGGGGAGAAAGCTAGATTCATGGAGGCTTGCCAACTGATTTAAAGGCACACACCAGCTTGCTTCAGGGCTGGCTTATCTCCAATGCTGTCTTGCCTCATTCAGCATAAATACACCCTGCAGATAACTTTTTGCCTGGAAATTCTATGTACTGGCTGAACTGGCCAAAAATCTCGGCGGGGTTAAGGGTCAAAGGTAGCTCTTGCACCTCCAGACCAGAAGGGCTGGAATGCTGTTTTGTAAGGCTGTGCATAACAGATTAATGAGCCTAGGCTCACCCAGAAACTGCATCTGCAATGTATGAGAAGCATCAAAAACTGAGAGGGATGAAAGGAAAATAAGAGCAAGCACGTCTTCCCTTTGATATGCTTTATAGAAAAAGCTGCTCTAGATGACCTCAGTCTAACTTCAGATAGTCTCTGCTCTGCCTGACTTGGACTGTGGGTCTCACTTGCTGAAGACCAGCTGTACTTATCACTATCACTGAACTTCATCTGATCTATACACTCACGTGAAATGGAACTGCTGTGGTGGAAGAAGCTGGGCAGAGAGCTGGACGTGCATCACACGCATATGTGTGGGCACGGGTGGGGTGTGTGTGGACAGGAGCATTCTCACAAGTCCTGAGCCACCTGTACGTTGTAGGGGGCAGAATCAGATGGCTTTCGGTGGATGCGTGCTCCTGCTGCCTTAGTGGGATGTGGGTTCTCAAGTGTGTAACTGAATTTCATTTTGTTCCATGTGCTCTGAAGGTTGAAAGCCAGTGAGTTTTTTTTCCTGTATTAAACAGGAAGATGTTAGATTCCTCTCCCAGTGAGCTTGTATTTGAGATAAGCTCTCTTTTGTGGGTATGAGTACAGCTGCTTGAGAGGGGGTTGCTAGATGCTTGTTGAGTGATGCCATGAACACTGTCTTTTTGTCTTCATGTATCTCTGGTTTTAGCTTCTAGGCTTGGCATGGTTTTTCTGGTAAAGATCTTTTTGATCTTCAGATAACTAAAGCTTAATAAGATGAATGTATGGAGTAAGATTTTGGAGTAGTTTTCTGGTTTCTTTAAGCAGTCTCAAAACATTTTTATATACAACATTTTTTTCTTTGAGATATGGAGAGCACAGCAAAGTTTTGACTTTTGAGTCAGATTTCCCAGCATCTGAAATACTAATGAAATAAAAGTTATCCTGGAAATATTGGTCAGCTTCAGGATTTACTATTTATAATTTACTTTTATATGGCCTGTTATATCTGCTTAATATGGTCGTGTCACAAGTTTCAACACTTCCACTCTCAGTTGCCAGGTTTTGTTAGTGCATGTTTGTGGATGACTACCTCACTAGGCTATTTCCATTGATTACTGGATAGCATGTTCTCAGTAAAGTAGAACACACTGTACAAAAATTAATTAACTCTGACCTTATTTTGCTGTCTGTTGGGATTTTGAGCTATAGTTCAGTGTCTGCATTAACGGTTAGAGTCAAAAATATTCCAGCATAATGAGTTCTCTGTGATGTTGACATTTAGTCCTGGATACTTGCAAAACATTTTATACTGATGTAGTCATGTAGCCTATGAAATGCAAACTGTGAAACTAAATAATAATACAGACTAGGACATGTTTTGTATTTCTCTTTTCTTCCTGTTGGGTATGATACACAACAGGATCTCTTGCACGGTCAGGCATGACTATAGTGCCTTGTTTACACAGGGACAAGGTGTTTTAGAGGATTTTCTCAAAGCATGCTAATTCAAGAGAGAAATGATTCAGTCAGGCACCTGCCTTACAGAATAACTGCCACATTAGTAGGAAGAAATAGGAGGAAAGTAAATATTCAGAGAACCCACAGTTGAATAAGAGTGAGAGAGCTGTTCAGACTTCATGCAAGCTGCATATTTGTCCAGACCCGGTTTGAAACCTTGAAAAGAATTTTGCTATCAAATGCCTAAAACTAGAAAAATCTCTGCTGACTTGGTTAGAACAGAAATGACCTTTTAAGTCAATGTCTTGCAAAGGAAAGTGGCAAACTTTAATGTTCTGGATGTGCTGCCATGTAAAGGCAGATGGTTGAAAGTAACTCTTAAGGGCCAGAGCAGCAGTGGAGGGCATCGGCAGTGCCACACGGCTGGTGTGACAGGATGGCCCCAGAACTGGTACTTTTGGACCATTGCTTTTGCAGCCTATCAAAAGGCAACACAGCAGAGCACCAACTATAACACCATCTGTCTGCAGGAAGGAGCCAGGAAAGCAAGCCTTAAAAAAAGAACGAGGTGAGATTGTAGCTGATGAATTTCATAGGTAGGACCTTTGACCCTTAGAAACATTGTCGATACCTACATATATATCTACATATTTATAAATACTTGCATGTCTACAAATGTCAATCCACTGAGAGATGTATCTAGGAAATTCAGAAGAAGGGGAAAAAAGCAAATCAAGACTGAAATAATCAAATAGGCTGAATTTTGTATAGTTAGGTGATAACACTGCCAGTACACCTCCACCAGTTCTCAGGGTCACACTCTGAAACAGCCAAGGGGTGGTGAGGAAACTCCAGTGAGGTGAGGGGGCAGAGGAGTGGGCAATGCAAGATGACTGACTTTCAGAACAAATCCAAGCTGAGATACAAGCTCTTTGTGGTGCTGTTTGCAAGTGGAAACTTGGACCAGGATGTTAAAGATGGGAAAGTGCTCTGAAAGCAGGCATAAATCATCAGACAAACTCTTATTAAAGTACCTGCTACTTACTACTCCTGGACTATCTTCGTTATATACTGTAGAAGCAGTGCTACAGTTAATGGTGTCAAAAAAGGACCGAGATGCGTGCAGGTTGACTTGGAGCATGAAAATATGGGATATGGATGGACAAACTGAGACAAGGCATAGATGAACATACTGCCCATGGCAGTCACAACTCAGTTTCAAACTGGGGACTGAAAGGAATCCGAAAATGAACTGTACAAGACAAAAGCTTGCAACCACTCGTGTGAAGGTGAAATCAATAAACCTACTCATGTAAGCAGGTCTTTGCTGCAGCAAAAGGGGGAGTTGCAACATAGCTCTGAAAGGGAAAGGTGGGTCAGTTGCAAAGTAAGAATAAAAAAAAAAGTCAAAAGTAGAAGTGAGCTGACAGAAATGTAGGAGGAAATACATCTGTGCTTGTCTGTGCCTTTTGTTTTTCCTCTCCCCAGTATAAAGCAGCTTGACAGGTACGGGCAGCTGATCCTCGCAAACGCCACCGCGGCGGACACAGGGGAATACAGCTGCTGGCTGCAGCTCTGCAACGGGAACAAATGCAGGAAGGATGAGACCAGAACAGGTTCAACGTACATCTTTTTCTCAGGTAATTAACTCTCTGGGGAAATTATTAATGGAAATATATTTGCTAGTAAGACAGGAATAAAGCTACATCAGTGATTTCACTGTCAAGATTTTTTTCTTCCACACTTTTCATCTTTTTCCGTGGATGTTAAGGAAAACAGTGCTGGTGAGCAGAAAATTACTTGCTTAGTGTGATTTATGAGTCCATTTTCCCTATGGATTATGCTAAATGTGTACCCAAAATAATGGGTAATGCAGTGGAAAGCAAATACCTTTGAAAAATACTAACACACATTCGAAGATCTTCTACAAAATTAATTTTTTAAAAAAAAAAGTTCAATTTTTGAAAATGTGTCAGTGCAATGAAAATAAATCTGTGCAGAAGATTAATTTTGTCCTGGCATTCAGATGACCACATGGTCTCTTCCCCCCAGCTTCCACTTACCTGCACTGATTTAAAAATCTTGACCTCATTGATCTTGGTAAGGCCAGAATTTCTCCCAAAAGTCGATATAGCATGTTGAGAGGCAAAACACTCTTAAATACATGTGTTGTCCCACAGAGCTTGAGGTTGACTGTAGCCCTCACACTGCATGGATAGGGTCACAGTAGGTCACCATGCAGAGTTTCCTGCTACTTGGTAGAATAGAGCTGAAATCAAATGGTTAATTTGTTCTTCTCGTGGAAAACAGTCTGGTAAAACAACCTTCACTGCCTGATTAGAGCTGAAGCATTCTTGGCTAGCAAATATTTCAGTACAAAATGTTAAGATAGGATTGTTTGCGATATGGTCTAATTTAGCTCCAAAACATGAGACTGTGCAGAAGCCATTTATCAGAAGTGCTTAATGTTCTGAGGATACATTCCTTTAGAAAGGCTGGAATAAACTTTTCAGTCAAATTATGTAAATGCTCCTGCTGGAAGGAGGAATTTCAGCTTTATATTTCTAATAACGATGCCAAATATGGAAATGCTCTTTAACTGTCATTCAAAAAAGACTAACTATTTCAGCTACTTAGACTAGTAAATCAAACATTTTGCCTAAAATAATATGTATAAAAAGGCTGCAGCTCTAAAGAATATCTCATTTTAGTAGTGTTTATCTTACAATGGTGGGGTTTTTATGTGTTACCCCTTAAAAGTGGGTGAGTGAGCAGAATTAGATCTAGATGAGTAGTTGGAAACTTATTAAAAAGAAATTCCAGAGATTTTCTTCAGAGAAAAAACCCAACCTGATTACAGTGTAGAATACTTTGGTTTTCTTTTTTATTTAATGGTTTTAATGCAGGGCATGTAAATATATACTCAGAGGTTAGAAAAGTTGTTTGGGTTTTTTGTGTGTGTGTGTGTATTTAAAGCAAAAAACTTCAGTTTAATTTTTAATGTTGCTCATAGCTATTTCTTCTTGCCTTATGTACTTTCTTTTCTTTCTGTTAAACCAGGATGTAAATATTTTTCTGATTATATCAACTCTTTTGCACAGATAAAGAGGAGCTTTTTGTACCCACTCCTGGTTATTTTGAAATTGTCTACTTGAACCCAGACAAACCTGCAGTCATCCCATGCCGTGTTACTACTCCTTCAGCAAAAGTAACTCTACACAGGGAATTTCCAGCAGAAGAAATTGAAGCAGATGGAACTGATATTATTTATGATGTGAAGAAGGGTTTTGTCTACCAGCACCCTACTTCTGATCATAAAGGTATTGTCTACTGCAAAGCAGAGTCACAGGGAGCACCTCAGATTTCCATCAAGTATCACCTGCTGTATGTGGAAGGTAAGGTGCAGTTTTCTGTGTGCTTACACTGACTCTTGTTTCTTCTGCTGATGTTGTTTAGAAAATGATTTTAAAAAAAAGAAGTAAAATAAGTAATGTAACCATAGTTTTTTAAAATCTTGATCAAAAGTATAGGTGATAAAACTTTGTAGGTTTAAATTCCAGCAATTTCTTAGTGTAGGGGAAGGTTGCAGGTGTAACCTCTTGTGTTAAGCAAGCAGACAAAAATGGACTCTTAAGTTCTATCAGTGTATTTAACTTTAGAAACTAACTTTCTGCTTCCAAACACTGTCTTTCTGTCAGTTCCCAAGGGCCCGCCCTCAGCCACAATTGCAGCATCACCCAGTAGAGCAGAAGCCAGTGACAGTGTTCATGTCACCTGCACGGTCCTGGGGGAGCCAGATGTGGATGTGAACTTCAGGTGGCGGTACCCAGGGCAAGAGGTAAGAGATGAAATGGCACCTGGCTGAAATGGATGTTCCTGGATGAAGTTCCCTGGCTGAAATGGTTTGTTTTTCATAAAGGCAGTGCTTTGAATACCAGTCAGTGCCTAGGTTTGGAGCAAAGATTCTCTCAGATTGTGGTGTCTGCCTCGTGCCAGCTCAGGCACGCTGGCAGGAGGAGGCAGCACATCCCTTTTGAACTTCAGCCCATCTTTCCCTGAGAGCCTAGAAGTAGCACGGGAATGAAGCGGGAGAGCTTTACCCCTGTTAGCAAAAAATCAAGCTCAGCAAAGCTCACTCCTCCCTCAGGTTTCCATTCCAGAGACACTTGGCCTCTGGCAGGTTTTACAAAGAAAAGCCCCAGACAGGGTCAGAGCCAGCCAGCGTCAGGAAGCTATTCCAGGGCAAGCCACAAAGCCTCGCTGATGCCTCTGCATTTGATATCTCTTCCATCTCCATGGCTTGGACACATGAGTCATCCCAGCACAGAATCTTTAAGCTTAATTGTTGCCCAGACCCAGAAGCACAGAAACCTGCTTCTGCCCAGTCTCATCTGAAAGAATCCGCTGGAAACATCCACTGAATCTTCAAACTGTCTTGGTCCTTTTTCTTGCACAAAATAAGGTGTATCTGAGGAGCATCATTGATGGTCCCCCCCCTTCTCCCTCTACCCACTCTGACCAGTTGCAGTAGGGATTTGTGTCTTAACCAGCCTCATCTCTACTGCTGTGTATCCTGAGCAGGCTAGGAGCTAAGGAGGGACTGCTGGAAGATAGAACCAGAGGAAAGGGTTCCTCTTGGACCCCAGGGTTTGCATTGTATCCCATTTGCCAGCCCTCCTGGTGCTGGGTTGTCAAAGGACGACGCGGAGCTTGCTAGTAAGATACTTCTATCAGCACTGGTTTCCTTGAGCCAGCCTAGAATTAAGTAATTTAACGGCAGGGGTAATTGCCTGAGTGAGTGAGTGTAGTTTAGTCCTTACTGGGCTTGAGATAATTCAAATGTAAAGCCCCCAAAGTTTTCTCTAACCGTGAAGACAGAGGCTGTAGCACTTGGTGGCCGTGGGAAGGTGTGTGCCTTTTCAGGGGAAAAAGTAACAAGAGCAAGTGAGTGCAAAAGGGACTTCAGCTGCTGGTGAGGGCACTGGGCATGTAGAACCAGGTTTCTAGTCCTTGCTTTGGTGTTAGTTTGTTCTTTCACTTTCCCCTCCACCTCATTTTTTAATTATTTTTTTTGCTGCTGCTGCTTGTCATGTAAGTTTTCCTGCTAAGACTATCCTCAGATTTGTGAGCAATTTCCAGCTTGCCCTCCCTGCCCCGTCCTGGCTGTTGGTGCATGTGGTGAGGGGCTTGATACTGGTGGCATGAATTAGGTGATCTCTAAGAGTAACTACTGGATTGAGCACCAGACGAGTTTGGCAGAATTCCTGTTTCGGGTGTCCATTTGAAGCTGGGAAGGAAAGGGGCAGATGTCTAAATGAGCAGAGAAACTTGCAGCTGTTGGTGAAGTAAAAAGTAAAATGTGAAATGCTAGGGAAAAGCTGAAGTGCCTCCAACTTCCCAAGTTGAGATAAGCAATAGCGATTTTGGAGTTAAATGCCCAGTGTCATCTTCTGAATTTAGCTCTTGGCATTACTTTGAGTGAGATGCATCAACAGATGGCAGTGTCTCTGTGTTTAAAGGTGGGGCTTTAACTCTGACAGTCTTACAACAATTCACTCTCTTGGGTGGGGAAGAGAAGAAATGCCACTGCTGATCACAGTGGTTTTGTTGGTTGATATGGTTTTCCATTGTGGGTTTCTTTTTTTTGGTGTGTGTCTGTTTTGGGGTTTTTTTAGCTTTCCTTGATACTGGTTTATTGGATTGTAGTAACTGGCTATACAATTTTATGTCTTTTGTAACTAAGTGTAATTACTAAGAACAAGCAATTGAAGGAATTGAATTCTAGACTCAGCCTTCCAGAACTCTTAAGTGCCCACCCCTTGCTGCTTTTACATCTTCCCCAGCTGAGTGGCTGCCCAGGCCTGGTTGGTGGCTGTTCTTGGCCCAGTTGTAAGACCATCAAGTCCTACAGCACCCAGTGCTTTGCTGGCACAGGTGATAAATTACGCCTCTCTATCACTGGCTGAATATAAACAGCTAAACACATGCAAATCACCTCCCTTGTTTGCTGTGGATACTGGAGCTGCATGGCACGCCGGGCACATGCACCATCAGCAGAGGATTACACCCTCTCACTGCACCCACCTACAGGGCTTGAGGGAGGGAGAGACTTTGGCCCGTGGCCTGCATCTGCCCTGGAAAGGGCTGATGTGCTGCTTCTCCACTGCAGTAAACAGTGTCAGCTCCAGCTGTGCCTGGGGACAGGGAGGGAAGAGTTGTCTTTGGGTTTCTGCCCCAACAAAATGATTAAGTAGATGTCAGAGTAGAAGCACCGTGTGCTTGTTGGAGACTAAATGTTTATTAAGAAAGTATTCACTTACTGCAAAGGAAAAAGGTGGGAGTGGAGGGAGAAGAGAGAGGACCAGTGATGCTGGTCACATAGACCTTCTTTTGTGCAAGGAAAAGGACTGACAAAGTTCTAAGACTCACTGGATGTTTCCATTCACTGCTGCTGCTTTCAGTGCAGGGAGATCAGTGATAGTTTTTGTTCCCCAGCCCCTGCTCTGTCATCTACCCCTCGATCCCTGAGTGGTAGCAGCAGTTTAATCCCTGCTTGCTCTGAGATGCATTGCACTGGAGAGACCCTCATCTCATCTCTGTAGTCACTAACCTCTCCCTCTTTTCACTCGGTTGGTGGTTTTTTTCCCTTGCCACTCCCTGACAATTGCATTTGCTCATCCACCTGCTGTGAATGCATCCTGATCCACTCCTTAATAGGATTCCCTGAAACAAGCTTCAAAGCAGAAGGCAATTAGTTTGAGAAAAAACTAGGCTAGCAGGAGCCCAACCAGGCACATAGCGTCTGCCTTACATGGCCTTTACCTTCACTTTCAGTAGGGTCAGGGAATTTCCGCTGGCTGTAGTTAAGAACTAAGTGAGGCTTGAATTAAGTGTGTGGCAGCACTTGATTTTACCGCTGGGAACAGTAGGTAGTGCTCTGCTGAGTGGCTTGATTCCTTCTATAGGGTTAAGAATTTCTAGGTAAGATTACCAGTTTTTCCAAAAGGTTCTGGCTGGCTGTAAATGGTTGGCATGCTGGGAACAGTGGGTAGAGCTTTGCTGAGTGGCTTGATTCCTTCTAAGGGTTAAGAATTTCTGGGTAAGATTACCAGTTTTTCCGAAAGGTTCTGGCTGGCTGTAAATGGTTGGCAGCTTCTCCTCTACTGGACATTTTGCAAGTGTGAGATTGTAGCTGTAACTCCACGTAAGTGTCTGACTTACCCTTTTGCTACTATTAGCTTAAGTCCTGGAGCATTCATATTGGGAAATGGCTAATCCATCTATTTCATGAAGCAAGAGGAGATGATTTCCAAGCAGAAATCCAGCTTCTCCTCTACTGGACATTTTGCAAGTGTGAGATTGTAGCTGTAACTCCACGTAAGTGTCTGACTTACCCTTTTGCTACTATTAGCTTAAGTCCTGGAGCATTCATATTGGTAAATGGCTAATCCATCTATTTCAAGATGGATTAGCAAGAGGAGATGATTTCCAAGCAGAAATCTCTCTCTCTCTCACCAGTTTTTATTGGCTGACACCTCACCCAGAGGGTGGTGGTCAATAGCTCCTCTTCAAACTGGCAACTTGTCACAGGTGGGATCCCCCAGGGATCCATGCTGGGCCCAATGCTGTTTAATGTCTTCATAAGTGATGGGATCAAGCGTAGCCTGACGGAGTTTGCTGATGACACTGAACTAGGTGGGGAAATGGGCACTTTGGAAGGGAGAGCCACCCTGCAGCAAGACCTGGGATGCTGGGCCCAATGCCGTTTAGTGTCTCCGTAAGTGATGGGATCAAGTGTAGCCTGACAGAGTTTGCTGATGACACCGAACTGAGTGGGGAAATGGACACTTTGGAAGGAAGAGCCACCCTGCAGCAAGACCTGGATAGGCTGGAGGGGTGGGCCAGTTTCTCTTACACAGTTCTTCGCAAACTGATAAATAGACCTGATAAATAGCCCATCAGAGAACTCTCTTATAGAAGAAGAAGAAAAAAAAAGCCTGTTATAACAACAAAAAACTCTAAACCAATTCTTTCTAAGCATCCTTGTTTATCTTTCTGGTTTTGAGGTTATGTGCACGTTTTGGAAAGCATGATGTGAGGATTAATTTATGCAAACTTCTGAGGTTCCAGGGAGTGTGACCTGATAAATAGTCCATCAGAGAATTCTCTTACAGAAGAGGAAGGAAAAAAAACTGTTACGACAACAAAAAATCTAAACCAATTCTTTCTAAACATCCTTGTTTATTTTTCTGGTTTTGAGGTTACGTGCACATTTTGGAAAGCATGATGTGAGGATTAATTTAGAAGCATTTGTGAGTTGTTACCATTAGTTTGTGTGTTATCTAAGTGTTTCTGAAACTAGAGGAGAAGGAATTAGTTTGCAACAACGTGATTTAAGATAAATAGCCCATCAGAGAACTCTCTTATAGAAGAAGAAGAAAAAAAAAGCCTGTTATAACAACAAAAAACTCTAAACCAATTCTTTCTAAGCATCCTTGTTTATCTTTCTGGTTTTGAGGTTATGTGCACGTTTTGGAAAGCATGATGTGAGGATTAATTTAGAAGCATTTGTGAGTTGTTACCATTTGTTCGTATGTTATCTAAGTGTTTCTGAAACTAGAGGAGAAGGAATTAGTTTGCAACAACGTGATTTAAAGCTAGTTTCTGTGCTAAAAGAGACTGAGATAAAGCTTGGTCAACTAACTCATGCCACTGCTGCCTTCTATCCTGACGTCTCCACCAGGACACCTCACCTATTTGATCATGTACCCAAACACCACCTTAGTGAGTGGCCCACGACTGCAACGGGGTTCATTCATGTGCTCCAGGCAGTGCTTTGGCAGCCCATTGCCAAGCTACAGATACACAGTACCTGCACTTAGAGTGGAAGGGTCACTGTCTTTTAGCCTTATTTGCCTAACTTACTGGTACATCATCAGTATTTAACGCAGGGATGTCGCTGCAACTGCCAGACACCTTCACTTTCCTCACTGAAGGCTGACTTTTGGATGTAGACTCCTAATATCCACCTTCTTGCTTCAGGGTTGGATAGGGTAGTGTCACTAAATACTAAATCTTATATATGTGGGGTTTTTTGGTTTTTTTTTCCTCTTCTAAACAGTTTGAGAAGCCTGTGATTATCCAAAACTTCTGGAGATTGATCAACAGAGGAACTGGACAAACCACAAGAATCTCAAAGAGCGTTCTTCTTGTTGAGGATTTTGAAGCCAGAGATGCTGGAAACTACATTTGTGTGGCTCAGAACCTACACGGAGAAACAACAGTCGCTACTAAGGTGGAACTAAATTGATAGGAAAGGGTCCTGACATAGAATGAACTGTATGTTATTTGACATTATAACCGTTTATTTTCTTCATTAATGTTTAAGTGAAGCTTTTTCTATCAGTGTCTCATTTCATATGTCAATGCATTCCATATTCACTAGCTTGAGAGGCCAAAGCCCCAAAGTTCCCTATGCCCAGCAGGTAGGCAGGTGTCAGTTAATAAACCTACTACGAAGCGTTACAGTTTAAGCTGGCACACACATAGGGCTTATTATATTTAGGATAAGGTGCTCTTGGGCTTTCCTTTGCTACGACCTTTTTCCTCAGACTCTTTCCTAAGGTTAACCTACTGTATGGTTTATGCCTTTTTTGTGTATGTGAGAACTGAGAGGACATTAAATATCCTCAAAAATCCACCAAGCAGGTGTATCTCTTCTGGTGCTGTGCAATTTTAGAGTACTGTACATGTTTAAAACAATGGAAAAAAAACCAAAAAAACTTACAGAAGTAGCCAATAGAAATGTTTATTTTGTAAGAATAATTAAATTTCTGAACATTATAAAAATGTAAATGTGTGTGTGCATATACGTGTGTGTTTTCATTTCATATATGTATAAAGACAAACATGCAAAATTCTCACTCCTAGGGAAGATTAATACTAAATATATATTAAAATACTAGCGGGTATCTCCAGAGATGGATATAAGGTTGGGTATGTTGGATTTCCTTTATGTTGTTGCCTTCTTACAAACTTACAATATGTAGCTTAGAGTTCACTCCTCAGTAGCTGGTGTTATGTTTACTAAATTATGTAGCAAATTATGTTTGCTAAAAGTAAAACTTGCATTTATTTATATAGTATAATTAACAAAAGAAAAAAACCCAAATGTAACATTAGAATAATGGTCAATTATTCAGCAGGATCTCTTCTCAGGTTAGTAACAGTTCAACTTGATCCTATTAATTTACTTAAGAGAAAAGGAAAGATGTTTCATTGACACAGAACTGTACCTGGATAAATAAGCAACTGCTTTTGGCACCTTGGGCTCAGTTACCAACGTGAGGAAGGAGCCTTTCCAGAGAGAAGGTAAGAACTTGGTAACAACCTTGTTGGACGCTTTGGTGATGGTTTTTCTTCCTAGCCTCAAGCTCAGGATCCAGGTAAGCTCAACCTTCTAACACAAATCTAACTGGTAGTGCAACTGTGTGACAAAAGCAGTCTTCACCTGAGCCATTTTATTTACAAGGCAGGTGAAAAACAGCTTGTTCTGAGCATCCGAGGAACCAAACCAGGAACCCGCCCGTCGCTTCCACACTTCATGTGTCTCAGCCTGCATTTGACTGGAATTCCTACAGCTGTCTTCTGGAGAAGGCTCGAAGCCAGCCCTTTGCTCAGGGTAATTCAAACCTTTGAGTAGATGTTTTGAGTAATGGTATTTAGTAGAAATGGCAGCTTCTCAATAGTGTCATAAACCTGATTAGTATTTTCATTAGCTAGGCCAATAAACAAGCTCGCTTGCAGGAACCTAAAGCAATGTAACCAATATGCTAAATACCCACAGTAAAGACTGAAATGGCTCCGTGCACATCTCATGAAATAGTTTCATGGAGGATGCTCCCCAGACGCCTGAAATATTGTTGGCCGTTGGAAAGGCTGCAGTAGCTACGAAAAAAAATATTAACAAAATATAAATAATGCAAGCGATAGGACCAACTTTGAAGGCATAAGAGGCAGTCCCATCCCTTGTTAATCTTTTTGCTATTAAAAGGTATCAAGAAAGTTAGTTACCCAAGTGACTGAAGAGCTGTTACACATATTATAGTAATACCAAAGAGTTTTGTGGGGTTTTTTTTAGGTAAGACTCTGAGCAAAGTAACATTAACAATCCTTCAGCTTCTGGGTGAGGCTGTGCAACGTGTTCATTGCGTTTTAGCATTTTCATTGATCAGAACATTCTATTTCCCTTTGAACTACAGAAGCCTTTGTCAACTTCTTAAAAGCAAAGTGCTTTTGAGCCTTTAATTTGACAATTGATTTCCTTTAAAACACCGAGCAGGTGGGAGATAGCGGCACCTGCTTAGGCTTGTTCTCCACAGTGCGGTGACTCCTGTGGTGGCATCACTGCTGCGGGGACAGGTTGGCAGGAGAAGAAAAAGCCATGTGAATCCATCACTGCATCACTGCTGGAGCAGGCTCCCTCGGGTGTCATGCTCGTGTCTGCCCATCACATGCTGATTATAGCTACAGCAGCAGTGCCTTTAAGGAAGAATTTTTGGTGATTGGTTCCTCCCCCAGGTAAATATCAAAATAATTCTCATCATAAACCACGAGAATTATCTTACTATGTATTTTACATAATTCTTATTTTACCAAAAGCCTCCCGGGCAGGCTTCTGATTCTTTTCACATTGATGCAATTACACATTTCCACCTCAATGAACAGTCAGAGTAAGACAATGAAGCCCGGGAAATGAAATTTAAGTGACTCGTCAAAGTCTCATGCCTAAACCTGCCAGCATTGTTATTTCTATTTCCACACCTCAGTCACCCCTCTACTAAGACCAGGCAGCACCAGTGGACAGAAGGTATTTGTATCTTCAGGGTTCAGTCATTATTCCAACTTTCTGATGACCTTTTTAACTCCAGCTCAGACCTAAACCATTTCCTGGCTGTCAGGCAGCTACAGTTTTAAACTTCAGTGGCTCCTTACAGCATAGAAGGAATTTCCTGTATGGATTGCATGATGCCAGGTGACATGCAAGTGTCTTTGGAGAAACTTCAAGTCTTCAGTTACCATAAGGAAATGATTCACCTCAAATTCTGCAGCAAATACAGTGCAACGAATAAAAAGACCTTTAGAGAAAAGTACTGAAGGGAAGTGACCCATGTTATGAGTAGTTTGAATGGCAACAAGCTATTTGGTACCAGCTATAAATGGCACTGTAACTTCCTCTGAAACTTACCATTAGCATTGGAACTACTAGTTAAGGTTGAGTATCTGAAGACAGTCACTTGTTTAATTGCTTGACTAGCACTAGACCTTTGGTATGTGTTTTTATGGTGAGCAGGTTTCTAGCTTTTCCTGAAAGAAGCTTTATGCAAAAGAAATTACCAAAAATTAGGTAAAAGTACTGGATCAAACAAAGCTTTTGCTAACAGTTAGTATTAAGTTAAAGCTTGAAATATTAATACTGAAACAGAGAAAAATATTGAAACAGTGCTTACAAATGAATAGAATTACTAAATCCTTTCGGACAAACAGAGCAAACACTGAACAGGTACTTCTGTAGTCTGATTTCTATAAACAAGGATTTGTCATTTTTTCATAAGAGCATTAAAGATTCTACTTGCAAGAAATCTAGAGGTGAGGTGTCTCCTGTATTGTGGAGGGAAACTATTGACAAATTAATATCAGTTCTTGTATTATTTACTACACCATACTTACTTTTTTGTACTGTTAGCCTGGAGGAGCTTTCCCCTTCTCTGTTACACACAGGAATATCCTATATTTGATCTTCAAACATTTGTACGTGCTCTTCTTGCACGTTTTACTTGAGGCACTGACATTACCACTGAGATAATGAAGTTCTTACCAGTGGCTGGACAAGTGTTCTTGTGACACGACCTGTTCAGTTGCTAAACCCTGTGGCTTTTCGTACACAAAAAAAAAGTTCCTGAACAAGATGAGCATTTTAATGCCTTTTACTGGGCATATGCACATCAGGTCCCTATTTTAAGCCAACTGTACTCAAGTATTTTATTATTGCTTAGTAAAAATGTTAACTACATTCTCCTCTTTTTTTCTTTTTTAAACAGCCAACTTGAATTGCTAATAATCACAAGCCATCCATGTGTAACTTCTGCCAACTTGAGAGTAGCAAAGGTAAAGTTTTTCTACGGGTTAGGAGAACATTACTAATTTGTGCAGTGAAGCTTCACTGTTACTGTTCTGCTGTGCTGAGCAGGTACCAAGAAATTTTAGTATTTGGAGGAAGGTTCCTCCTCTTAAAGATGACTTGACTAATACAAGCAGGAGAAAAACCCTTCAATCAGTACAAAAAAATTTATTTTTAAAGCATTCAGCTCAAATACATGTGATCAAGTCTCTTTGACCATGGAAAATAAAAGTGTTTGAACATATACTTTAAGCCAAGCTTTAGCCCGCAAAGGATTTTCGTAGTTAAATTTGAAACCCCTAGAAAACACGTTAAGTACAGACACCACTAACAAGTGGTACCTATAGTGCCCTAAAGAGGATTAAAAGAGAGCATAATGTTCCACAGAAATGGCACCCTTGACTTGTACATTGTGGAAAATTAAGTCAATTTAATGATGAAATAGTCAATCACAAGTTAAAGTATATTACAAGTTTACTTACTGCATGAGCACTGTTAACAGTCTTGTTTATATCTCTGTCTTCTTCATTACTAGCCAAGATTGTTCACAAACAAAAAAAAATATTACAAGTTTACTTACTGCATGAGCACTGTATATTACAAGTTTACTTACTGCATGAGCACTGTTAACAGTCTTGTTTATATCTCTGTCTTCTTCATTACTAGCCAAGATTGTTCAAGTCTTGGGTGAAATGGTTTGAAGTGGTTCTCCAGTTGAGTTCCCTACATGCTTTCCACCCCCTTGATTCCTGTCCCCGAGCTACTGGAAAACACCAGGAAACTCAGCAGATACAATGTCCTGTAACAAGGTACCTGTGTAACTAGTTACCAGCATTAGCTAAACAGCAATCACAATGGCCCTGGCAGTGGGACTGTAAAACCCAAGCTATTGTGAGCACAGATGGTGTTTTGAAACGCTAATTTGAAGTTAAACCTGTGTTTAGTAGGTACAACGTAGAGATACTGAACAGTCTGAGCGAGGGTTTACCTTGCTGAAGCAGGAGCTGAGCACACAGCACTTCCAGGAACGCTGACACCCTCGGCCTCCAGTTCCAGCAGCCAGGACAGTTTTCCCCCTATTTTACACACTCTCTCCTACAGGCTCTGTTTGCCCAATGAACTGGCAAAACACCACTATCCTGCAGTCTCAGAAGGAAGGTATGGCAGAATTAGCAAGATTAATCCACAGCTACCACCTTCCCCCTCTTCCTCAGGTGAATTTACCCTGAAGAATATTAATACAAATGCTCCCACTTAAAAAAAAGGCAAAGTGTGTCACCAGATAAACTGGAATTCACAAATTACTTAAGATTCTTCTTAAGAACCGAGTTAAGAATGCACCTAGTGACAATTATTGCATTTTTCTCTTTGGCTTCCAAATCTACATCTAGTTTATCCTCAGCAATGGGCACGCTGTTTGGGGGAAATAAGTATTCCTTCTCAGCAGGTAAGGTAAGGTCAAGGTTCCTAAACCTGCAACTTGACAAGTAACTTCTGACCTTGAGGGCTACTGTGGTTCTAACCTGGTTGACTTGAAAGCCAAAATCCACTGTATCCTGCAAAAAAAGTTCTACTCAAATGGCAGAGTTGTGCATGGATATTAAACCAAAAATCCATGCAAAATACGGCTGCAATTGTTTGTTTTGAAAATTAAATAAACATTGCTTACTCAGGACAGATGAGACACGACTGAGTCAGCTGACAAAGCTTTCCTTGCCATTTTTTAACTGAATGGAAGGCAAAAAAGATGAAGGGAACCAACCTCTATAGTCCTAGTGGCAGTTTCTCCTCATGCCCAGGGGAGGGTCCTCTGCTAAAGCAGGCAGGCTGGCAGCATTACCAAGGAAGTACGTGTCCATGTGTAGTCTTCAGCTTTTATCCTTTATTACGTACACAGCAAAGAAGGCAGCATTTAGGCACACGCAGAGTGTGTTCATCCATCCCTTCCATCCACAGCACACGCACGCACACACACAGCCTTAAAAAAAAAAAGTGTCGGTGATAAGGAACATAATATAAAGGTTGTGATCTTTATCTCTAAGCCCCTGAGCTTTTTCTTATAGTTAGGTGAAAAGGCAATGAACAAGTCTTTCCTTGCTCCGTAAGTGCTTTGTGCAACAACGTCCGTAGAGGTCATAAACAAGTCTTTCTGGGAGGAGCAACACGAGTGTCTTTTCTCCCACGTTCTCAGTCTCTTTACCACCATTTTTGCACCGAATAGTTTCCAGTTATGGTCAGTCGTCATAATCAGCTAATATAGCTCTTGCTCCGGTGATTAAAAGTTCGGATCGGTTCTGCAGATCGCAAATGAAATGCCATCCCCGCTTCCCCTCAGGAGATGGTGTCATCTCGGTGACCCTGTGGGACTGGAGAAGTTACCCGAGTTCCGTGGGGACTGAAGAGGCACGGAGGGAGAGCTGGGGGACAGTTTCCTGGGGCTGCACAGGTCGCCGTTGTGCAGCTTCCACAGAAGTTCTTCATTTTCCATCGACAGGCGCTTGTTTACTTTGGACTCCTTCTCCAGGGACTCCTGCAGCACCGCCTGCTCCGTGGAGAGCTGCCTGCAAACGGGAGACTCACCTCAGCACACACAGCCCCAGCTGCAGGCTGCAGCACCAAACTGCACTGATAGAGAAAGGTTTCAAACTGCAAAAACCCCTCCTTGGCTTACAACAATTAACTCCTTAAAAGGAGGATTTAGCATTTTCTCATCCGTGCTGCGTTTGAACTGGTGGCTTGCAGAAAGCAGGAGAAAGTCCCAATAAGAAACATTCCTAGAGACCAGAAAAAGCATCTGAAAAGCGAGGCTTGTCTACTTACAGCAGCAGATGCTTTTAGATGGCCATGCTGGAGCTCTTGGGCCTTGCTGCAGGCTCAGAAACTGCATTTCTTTTAGTTTCCTACAGCCTGGGAGAGTTTGCCCCTCCGTTTAAACAATAGTTTAACTTAAAAGAACATCACACCCCTTTTATTTGCCTTAAATATTGCTGCTCTTGCTAAATAAAACACACTGGTCTTTTCACTGATCTAAACTGGGGACAAATCACTCGACTGAAGTGGTTATAAGTAAAACCAGGTTCAGCTCACAAGCCAGTAACACTTTAAAGAGCCAATATACAATAAAGATGATATTTCTGAGTTGCTTTTTCTTCCCTGAAATACTACTTTGCAGCACTGAAGAATGAACTGAGCCTTCACCCCCTTACAATCTGTTCCTGCTGCTGCTTCTACATAGGAACACACATTTGTAGAGATATAAGTGGGGAAGAAAGGGGTGAGTTCTTTTACGGAGTACTACAACATCCCAGTCACTAATAATTTACTCAAAATGTTCTTTCTTGTCACAGGAGCACCTCCCCCTGCTTCTTAAGAACATCTAAAGTCCAGAGAGATTTTTTTTACCTTGAAAGCTCCATGTGTTTGTCCATCCGAGCTTTTAATTCTTCATTTTCTTGCTGAACCTTCTTCAATTTATCCATTAAGATTGTGTTGTTCTCCAGCTGAGAAAGAAAGGTCACAGTTTAAAATCAAACCCATACATGCGATCATCAAGATGCTGACTGAGGCATCACTTTCATAATCTGGAGTTTGCAGACCTTGTTGCAGTAAGTGCAAAACCCAGAGTAATGTGGGACTAACCTGATATTGTTGCTTAATAATCCATAATAGTCAAACGGATCCTACGTACCTTCCCCTTGCATAACACTGGCATTTTGCCACTTGTGCTGATCAGCTGCCAGCCAAGGAGGACTGGTTAAGGGATCTACTAGTTAACCAGCACGTTCTAGTAACTTCTGCCAGCGCCGGGCAGCAGAAGACAGATGGAAGACTGTCTAGAAATAACACACTAATGTGACAAACACAAGAGCTCCCCTGCTTAAACAGCTCTCCCTGATTCCACTTCATTGTGCAGCATGTTACCAGAAGTTAAGCAAAAACAGTGATTAAGTGGTGGGATGGTCCAAGGGCTTCTATGTTGTGGCCAACGTCTGCCTGAGAAGACGAAGGGTTACTAGTAATTTACTCCTAATTGTAGACCAGGGCTGTAGACCAGATTCTGAACAACTTGGCACCAATGTAGTCCTTTGTATCCAAACCTCGTTCCGTACTGCCTCGTTAAAATCTTGCTTAAGTGAGTATTACAACAGCGATCAAAGGCCCCGCCCAGGATAAGGGCTCTGTCCTGCCACAAATAAGGACATGCTATGTAATTAACAAGTTCTCTCCCCAAAATTGCTTCTTCATGTGGAATTATGCAGAGATCAGGAGCAAATCCACACAAGAAGTAGCTTAAAGATAATAGCTGAAGTGATTGACCTAAGCTAATCAACTCTAAACAATTACTCCATTTCATATTCAAGCCCTTCTTGTTTAATTGGGATCATTTCCATGTTAATGTTTTCCTGACAGCGCAATTTATCTTCCGTAACACTCAAGCTAATGTAGCAGGTCAGGAATTTTTCTTTGGGGTGGAGGAGAAAAGAGGGGGAAAAAGGAAAGGAAAGGTGGAAGAGGCTCCCAGAAAACCCTGTACTAACTTAGCAACAGTTTATGCAAACCAGTAGTTTACTTAAGAGGTTAAAAGGTCGTTTACAGCATCTGGTGATTCCTTCATGGCCAGGCTGGATGGGGCTTGGAGCAACCTGCTCTGGTGGGAGGTGTCCCTGCCATGGCAGGGGGTGGAACTGGATGATCTTTACGGCCCCTTCCAACCCAAACCATTCTGTGATTCCCCCTCTTTATGTTACAGCCTGATGCAGACAGAACTGTACCCACAACATGAGTGTGTCCCATTATAATTTCATTTTTCCTTTTAAACCAAAAAAATTAGTCCTCGCACAAAAGACTGACCAGCCCCAGTTCATTATCAGGACGTAACTCGGACACACATTCCACACCTGCCAGACCCCAAGGAAAACTCACCAGTTTTTCCATCTTCATGAGCTTTATATCCTGCTGATGGAGTTTCTCGTTCTTGATCTCCAGCACCGCTTTCAAACTTTCCAGCTCCTGTTCCAGATACATAATATGCGGGTTTTTCTGAAAGATTTTCAGAGAGTTTGCTTAGTACCAGCAATTTCAGGAACAATTTAAGTGTTTCTCTGCTATTTAGGAAGAGAAAGAAAATAAATGCAGTAATGAAAGTTACTCGTTCTAAGTGAAATCAAGTTGATCAGTTTAAAATAAATTAAAAAAAAAAAAAGATCTGCTGCCACTTTCTCGTCTGCTTTTGTTTGCCCTGAGGTGTAGGTGGACAGTGGGGAGTTTTCCTTAGAAACTGTTCAGAAAACAGTTTATTCAAACGTGAAAAGCCCTTGTAGAGCCGAGGGAAGGCACTAGAGCTGTCACAGCAAAACTTGTTTTACGGGAGTGCCCAAAGCCTCCCTGTAAGGCTAGGAGTTCCAAAATTTATTTCATATTACTCATAACCCATCCCAAGAGGTAATTAGAGTAAACATTTGAAACGTTTTCAGATGCTGCAGTAGTTCAAAAACCACCCGAAATTTCAAGCCATGAAATGTAGCTGATTTTCCCTGGTTTGAGCCTGAAGCTGCTTTTTCTGTAAAATTTTTGTTTTTACGTTCTTAAAGCCCAGCAATGCAATTACACATCAAAATCTTGCGCTGCTGTACATCCATGATGTAGCTACCATACAGCAAGTTTGAACTTCCTTTTTTATTTTCTTTTTTTGTTGTTGTTTCCCTGGAGGTGGAGTGGAGAGGGGACAGGGCAGGGTGAGACCTGGTTTCCTCAGGGACGCCTTTTCCACAGCAAGGAACCGTTCAAACACCATGGGGTAAAACATACTCTGCATTGCAAAGGCAAAGTCACGGGCAAAAATCAGAAGAAATAAAGCAAGTCTCAGCCCATTTCCAGGTAGCCCAAGTGGAACGCAAACAGAAATCAACCAATGATTAAGCCTGTTGTGTAACTAAGTTTATCTTTAAAAACAAACAAAACTTGTTTTAGCATATTTGGGTAAGAATCCTGGTGTGCCACACGAGGAGCAGCTTTGCTTCCAGACCAGGAACCCCAGTTTGTGTCCCAGCAGGACAGAGCCAGTCCATGTCTCAGGTAACCTCCACATTTCACCCTCCTCCCTGCTGGTACGGACTGTGGTGTTAGTGATTCTCATTTAATTTCTAGTTTTGAACAGAAGCCCACGTGGGAGCAGGGTGTGCTGTGCTGCCTCACAGGAGGCAGCAGACAATTTGAGCTTCGTTCCTCCCTTCTGTGGCTTTACGTGGAATCTGGGATCCAGCCAGAAAAGTGACCCTGAAAAGCCAAAGTGCAGCTTACAGTTTGTTCAAAATTTAATCTATTTTTTTTCTTTTCCCTCCTCTGCCCCAGTGGTCTTAACATGTCTTCATAAAGTCGAATCCGAGCCACTAGAACACAGAGCCAGATAAAAAGACCAGGAGGCCTAGATAAGGTTTTAGCCAAAAAGCTGGGAGTATCAAGTGACACTACACAATACTGGAGAGTTGGAAATACATGGCTGTGTTCAAAGGGCCAGTGGGGATTCTGATAGTGCAGAAGAATATTCTGGGTCAAATCAGCATTAGAGAAGCCTCCAGCTTATGGTATCTCTTACGCTGTTAGGATGCAGAGTGCATTTGCAGCTACGCAAAGGCACTTGGCTATTGCTCTTTTAAATTAAACAACCTCTGAGCACGGCTGGGGAATACAGTTTGAGGTGCCAGAGCAGTGCACAGCACGTTCTCCTTGGTACCCCCTCTCCCAACCACAGCAACACACTGTGGGTGCAGATTCTTCTCATGGCAGCTCTGTCCCACCATGAGAATAAGTAGCAAGAGAGAAAAAAAAGAAATCAAATTCCAGTGAAAACTAGAGCAACTTCTACTAGTGGAATTTCTCATGGAATTTCTCGTGGTGGGATAAAGCAATACTGCTGGTATTCCAGTTATTTCCAGGTAAGCAGAGAAATCAAATTCCAGTGAAAACTAGAGCAACTTCTACTAGTGGAATTTCTCATGGTGGAATAAAGCAATACTACTGGTATTCCAGTTATTTCCAGGTAAGCAGAAAGATAAGCGTGCTTGTGTCCAACCCTCCCAGTGCATGAGAAACCTCTCTCAGAGGACGTGTCTAACCCCGGAGCGTCACTGATAAGAGCAGCCTTGGGAGGAAAGGCAGGATGAAATATATCTGAAGGATAAATCAGCAATGAACACACATCTGTGTCTGAATACACGCATTAAAGACTCAAGTAGGAGGGAGCTCCGTAGCAGCGAGAGGTGCCCGCACCGATCATAGAGCCCTTAGAACCAACTAGGAGAAAGCTACAGCACAACTTCTGCATAAGCAGAGCTCTTCAATTGATCTGTGGCTATAACTTGTGCCACTGGCTTAGACAGTCAGCAGCTTGATGGATTTACAATGGTGAGGTTAATACACAACACTGTAGAGATTGAGAAAATCTTCTGGTAGGTGAGTCATTTACACGAAATATTTAATGAGCCTGGGAGCCCTATCAGGGCTCACTGCAAACCTGTCTTACACAATGAAACAGACCCAGGCTTACACCATCTGCTCATCCGCATTACTTTTGAGGATCAAGACTTACAAGGTTGGCTTTTTCTTTGGCTATTTGTTTTTGCTCTTCTAACTTCAGCTTCTCACTCAGAGAGTCGTTTTCACATTTCAATTCATTGATTTTTTTCTGAAATGAGAAGATACAGTGTAGTTAGGCCAAGACCTTAGTGCACGTCTCCAAACTGCCTCTGAAGTTTGAGACTGTTGCAGTCACCCCAACCCTTAACAAACCTCCAGCAACTCCTGCTTCTCTTTGAAGGAATCTTCAAGCGACTGACCAAGACTTCAGTGCATGTCTCCAAACTGCCTCTGAAGTTTGACTGTTGCAGTCACCCCAACCCTTAACAAACCTCCAGCAACTCCTGCTTCTCTTTGAAGGAATCTTCAAGCGACTTCCTCTCAGATTCATGGGCACTCTTGAGCTCTGCAAGAAGTTATTTTTGCAGATGTTTAATACCACGTAAGACATGAAACCTCTTTCTGAAAAGCAGCAGCAGCGCAAGAAGCCAACCAATACACATACACACAGGTGTGGAGCCAAAGAAACACGGAAAGAACATTTATCATCAACTGATCCAAAGCACGTACAAGGCATCTCATCTATTACTGCTTCAGGTTTGTTGATCACCCCCTCACATATCCAATTAGTTGACAACATGTCACAAATCACTTGAATCAATGAGATGCAATGCCACTGTCACAAATCACTGTCATCACTTGAATCAATGAGATGCAATGCCACTTGCAACTGAGCACGCTCACCACCCCCTCCCTCAGAAACACCCTTTGCCCCACTGCACTGTGAGCAGTGGGTGATATTTCTCAATGTTCCTGTGTCAGTCTTATCCCCAATTTCAATTTCGAGGTGCTCCTTATAGGAAAAGGAAGGAATTCAGCCAATGTGTTTAAAAGCAGGTGACCGCCAAGAACAACGAAGTGGACATACTGATGAAAAAGTCTGAATATTTTCGTGTGTGACTGGCAGTAACAGGGCAAGTGCAGTCGAATACAAAATACTTGCCTGAAAAAGAGGATTCATACTCCTTTTTCAGCTCCTTTACTTTTTCTGAGTGGCTGTTTTCAAGTTCCACCTTAAAGTTTTCGTGTGTGATGTTTAAGTTGTCCACCTGCAATATAACAACATGGTTATCTTCCCCCTCTTTACGTGTGTCAACTTGACCCTCGTTTACAGTGCTGTCCCAATGTACCTCGAGTACATTTCCAGTGGTCTGGGCAGCACTGAGCAGATGGCCACAGGAGAAGCTACGCCACATCCAACACTTAATAGATGCAAATGATGCCTACAGCTCGCCACGGCCAACAGGATGATGGATGTGTCTGTGGCACACATGGAGCTGCTGCAAAGCAGGGTCATTGGCCAGGGGTGGTTCTATAAATCTTAAAACTGCCTCAAATGTCCAGGGGAGCTCTAAAAGCCATTGAAGTTTGCAGAGCATGAGGAACCTCCACCACGTTTAAATACAAGCTTAAGATCTGGGCAGCTTAGGGTAGTAATGTTTTTATAGTGGAGTTTCACATTAGATAAAATAACTGCAGGATTCTCTGAAGGCTCCTTTGTAGCAGAAAGCAATTCCTAGAGACTATTTCTACCCCAAACGTTACAAACCTGCTCCTGGAGCTGCGCTTTGTACTTCTCAGCTTCTTCAATGCAGGTACTTTGGAGTTTCTCACATTCTGCCGTGTAGAACTGTTTGAGCCTCTCCTCCAGCTCAGCTAAATCATCGCGATGCTGCTGGTTTAACTTCTGCAAAAACCCTTCATAAGCGACCTGCAGTTCGTTCCTGTCTCTCTCCAATTTCTCACAAGCTGCAGAAGTGCTTACTGAAGGTGTCAAAAGAAAAAAAAAGAAAAAGAAGTAATTGGTGAAATTAGCGTTGAACTTGAACCATCTTCATTACAAGTATTAAGGATAGGACTCTGCACAGCAACGTGGTTATACAAAGGCAAATATAATTTATCCATGAAATAAGCACAATGTGTCCAAGGACATGTGAAAAGATCTTTGTAAAAATACCAAATTCAGTGTTTCTTACGCTGAGGATTAAGCCAAGAACCCATATAGGAAGCACCAACGTGACAGTTCGTCATGACACCAAAGAATGAATGTCTCACCAGAGACACTGGAGTGCTCCAATAAAAAAAATTAATTGGATTTGCTACTTTACCTAATTTGATCCCATTCCAGTAGTGGATTTCTCAGAGTGCTTCACTCTTTGATATATAAACCACTTAGCTAAATTTGAAAGTCTTAATATGCTGAAGACCACACTCAGATGTGCAGCAGAGAAGAGCCGCCCGTCTCCCAACGTACCGCTAACTGGCACGTGCCCAGGATACTTAAATACACAAGATACAGAATAGTTTCAGGCAAAAAGTGCAAAATATCACAAAAACACCAGTCAGCTAAGAAGACTGCCTAGGTTTGTCTCCCCACCTTTACAGCAGATTAAAAAGCAAAGCAGGAATGAGTAGCTTGTACTGTGGAGTCTGAAATCCAGCATTCCCAGCTCCTGGAGCCTGGGATTGGGTGGGATGGGACCTCTTGCACAGGCCCACGGTCACCAGCCTTCAGCAGAGCTGCTTCCCTACAGACTCCAGGGCTTTGGCTTAAAATAACTTCATCAGGCGAGTGTCTGCTTAAGAGAATAATCAACTAAAAGGTTAACTGGATCGTCCATCAAACCCAGGGGAGTCCTGCCCACAGCGTAGAGCAGCGTGGCACACTGCCCAAACATAAACTCTACCTAAAAGCATGGCAAAATTTGAGGATTTTTGTACAGGAAATTCTCATCACAGCTGTGTTTGAGCCTTAGGATATACAAAGTACAGTGTCTTCACAGGCTCATGGGCAAGCAGCCTGCCCTGGGGTGGGACCTCTCTGTGCTACAGCTCATGGAAAGCAAGTGAGGACCTCCACGGATGACACCTGCGCTCTCTTTTAAGGAAACTAAAGAAGTCCTGGCCCTGCTGCCCTCACTTGGGACCCACAGCTGAACTAGAAAGTGCCAGAGAGAGAGCGGTACTGCACGGAAATCAATCTCTGTCTGCCTGAATTAGTGTTAATTAACTGAGCTGTGCCCCATGCTAGGTCTGTGTGAAGGATCTGCTGATCGGGACGGGTTCAAGCTGAGATGTCCCAGGACTGGCAACGATGCAGCTGAAGGTTTAACTAACACGTCCCCCAACATTCTCTGCAGCCCGAGCAGGTTTCACTGTATTCTACACTTTCCATACCACTAGCAAGAAAGATTTTTATTTCCCTGTATTTATTCCTTCCATAGACTTCTATAACTGCTTCCTTTGGAAAAGAAATGGAAAATTAGCATTGACGCTTCTATCGTATCACATTGCTGTGAAGTTATTGAGTATATCTGCTCGTATTATCACATTTTTGGGGAAGAGGAGCCATCACAGGTAGGGGACATCATTTTATAACACAAAGACCCCAGCAACGAGCCAAGGGGAGACATTACAGAGCCACCGGCACGCAGAACAGATCTGAGCACCTAGAGCAGAGTGAGGGGGTAGAGCTGGGAGGCAGGTGACTCCTTTTCCTCGTTGGAGAGAACTGCAACAAAATGTTTCAAACAATCCACTTCCTTTAAAAGCAGCCATCAATTCTTTCTTTGTAAGGCCGGAGCCGTTCGTTTGCCTCCATTTAGCTGCAGGAATGTGCTGCCTGTCATTGTCTTATCTTTAAATGTCAGCACGCACCACTTCGCATGATGCAAAACGCCGCAGAAAGAAAAAAAAAAAAGCAAATAGCAAACCACGCCTTTGTCAAAGCCAACAGACACATGGGCTCTTGTCCAGCCAGTTTGCAGTTCAGATTTACGAGCAGACTAATGTTACAAAGGCAAACACACACGCTTTTAAGACTTGCACTGGCAGAGGTGAAGGTTGTGTTACCTTGAAGGTAACGTCTGGTCTCTGCAAAGCCGGAGGCTGCGACGCTTCCTGGCAGGCCCAACCTCAATCCCTGCCATCCAAACCAGGAGCAGAACCACCACACCACCAGCGAGCTCCCAGTATCACCACCGTGCAAGAACCTGCCCGGGTGAAGCTTTAGCAAAAGCACCGACTGAAGAACTCTTGATTTGAAATTACGAGAAGTCCCATAAAGCAAAGTTTGGCTCCATATTCAAGATTCAAGCGTCTGCAGCAGTGTCAAGTATCTTGCACAGCCCTATCCATCTCCAGAGTGAGTCCTCTAATTTATAACTGTACACTGCCTTGATTTAAGAAAGGGACAAGCCATGAAAAAGGCATCTAATTCCTTAATTTCACCACTCTTCAGCTAATTTATAACTGTACACTGATTTAAGAAAGGGACAAGCCATGAAAAAGGCAACTAATTCCTTAATTTCACCACTCATCCAGTCCTCTAATTTATAACTGTACACTGCCTTGATTTAAGAAAGGGACAAGCCATGAAAAAGGCATCTAATTCCTTAATTTCACCACTCATCCACTGCAAGGGGCTGCTGCAAAACTCCTGACTAACCAAACCCGATGGTTACTCAAGGGTTTTCTCATTGAGCTGGTGCTTGATTTTGAAGAAAAATCTCTAACTGGAACACAGGCTCTTCCAGGAGCATCCACAAAATCTCTATTTCGATCCCTCATCTACCTCAGAAACACCAGAAGGTCATGCTTCAGAGCTTTAGTACGTGACTCTGTGCTTCCTCTCCCCCCTTACAGCGCTCCCCTCTGCATCCCACACCCTCGTTACACCACACGCTATGGCCACAGACCTTGGGTGAGAAAACAGCAGGAGACAAAAAGTCCAAGAGCATCTGAGAGAAAAACGAAGCCACAGAGATGAAAAGCTGCACTATCCATCTGTCCCTTCAGTTGGTTCAGTCTCACCTCTAACACTACACACTTTCAAGCTTTCAGGACAGAGCACATGGGATGGTGAATTTGGCCGCCAGAAGCAAGATTTGCTTCTATATTCAAATAGTAAAGCCATTAATAGTTAATAGTTGTCCCCCACTTGGTTGTCCCAGCCTCTCCTCCCAATCACACAACACTGTCTCCCTGGGTTATTACAACAGGAAGCAAGAATAATCTGTATTTTTAGGCTTCTTAACACCTGTTTCTAATAAACTAAGAGCCTGGTTCTTTTGGGCAGAACCACTGGCCATCCCGGGAAGTTTCTGGGATTTGGTGAGAGCGTATCTTCAGATCAGAAACGCCAGTTCTGACACGTAAAATTAACATCCATGTGTAGTTGTTAACGATGGCTACTTACATCTTGGGTATTTCACTGCAAAGCTTTGTGTGTGCCAAAATCATAAAACAAATCTCTGCAGAGCAGAAGCGTGGAGAATGGGGCACGAGGCAACTCCCTGCACGAGTGCCAAGGGCAGCAGATCCAAACCACATCAACAGCAGCGCCAGCCGAGGCAGAGGACCACAGGAGTTGCCTCAGTATCCCCAAGAAATCTATTTCGTATTTCTCAAGTAGCCAAGAGATAAGACCTTAACGTTGTGCAACGTCTTCTTACAAAATTTAGTTTTTTCTGCTTCTCATTATAAAACAATTCATCATCTCCAATCCAGTCCTTCTGGCTGAACTGCTTACATAAAAACAGTTTGCCATTTACATTCCCCTAAAAGTCACCATAACCATAGCTCTAAGAAGATAAAACATAATAGAATTTTTTTTTGAATCCTGAATTAAATTGTTTTGAAACAACAACTGTCTTCGTAGACTCATCTAAATCACTCCCTGGTCTAGTTATGATTTAAGAAAAGCCATTAGACTGTCTGAAATTTTGAAACAGAGGTCACTAGGACAGAAACCAGCAGCATTTTAATAGACGGGGGGGATGTGAAAAGGGGATAATTAGCAGAAAACATCAAATATTTAGCACGGTGTTATGTCACAGCTCGTAACACTTTATTGCTCTTTGTGTTTCACACTGTAAGGTCTATTGTGTATGTTCTGGTTATCAGTACGTCTACTGGAGACACAAAGGCTCATTTCCTTCTCCACAGAATTTTTTCCTTATACAAACTGTTATCTAAGAATTAATTCCTGGTTTTGGCAGATTCTCAATATCGGAAATTCTTCTACCCAAACATGCTTTCAAGTTTATGACCAACTTGGTGGTGCTTCTGTAACCAGACTAATGGTGCAGGATGTGGAGCCACATTGCACATTTTAGTTCTGGGGCAGGCTGTACCCAGGTGGGCAGCCCGAAAAAGGATGCTCTGAGCTGCACTGAGGTGGGTCTGGCTGAACATACGCATGAAGCATTCAGGTATCTGCTAGGACATAAGTTCCTGTCCTCTACTGCTGCCAACACCACAGTGTCAGCAGGCGGGCAAGCGTTCCGCTCGTGGCAAGTCAGGCCCTGCCCCAAATAGTTCATGGAATCATGGAATGGTTTGGGTTGGAAGGGATCTTCAAGATCATCCAGTTCCACCCCCCTGCCCTGGGCAGGGACACCTCCCACCAGACCAGGTTGCTCAAAGCCCCATCCAGCCTGGCCTTGAACCCCTCCAGGGATGGGGCAGCCACAGCTTCTCTGGGCAACCTGGGCCAGGCTCTCACCACTCTTAGAGTGAAAAATTTCTTCCTGGTATCCAGTCTAAATCTCTCCTCTTTTGGTTTAAAACCATCACCCTTCATCCTATGGCTCCCCTCCCTGATCAGGAGTCCCTCCCCATCTCTCCTGGAGCCCCTTTAGGGACTGGAAGGGGCTCTGAGGTCTCCCTGGAGCCTTCTCTTCTCCAGGCTGAACCCCCCCAACTCTCAACCTGTCTTCATAATCGATAGAAACATCTACCTACTATTTAGTAATTTTAAGGACCACCAACACCTGGAAACCAATTCACATTCACTCCATCTGTCCCTAAAACACAACAGGCTTTTTTTTATCCCAACCTCCGTAACATTTTAAAGGTCATTTTATCAATAAAAAAAAATAGCATGAAGGTATTTTGAAGAAAACATCAACTGTGACGCAGCGAGAGGAGGGGAGAGAGAAGGGCCTGGGTTTGGCCGTGTCGGGCACAGGAACCCTCCCCATCCCTCTGAAGAAACATGCAGCTCTCGCAACTTCTACTTACATAATTAAACAGGAAACTAGGAATAATTGAGACGCTGGCTTGCATCTTAATGAGGGAAACCGGTGACCGGACAATCCCTACCTGCTCCAGGCTCCCAGAAACGAGGACTTCACATTCAAACCACAAAGTTTAGCTTTTGTGGTTAGAGATTTTAAGGAAACCCGAGTTCAGAACCTGACTGTTAAGGAATTTGAACTCCTCTGGAAAGGCCTGTCCCCAAACACACCATCACTGCTAATCCCAGCAGGGGCTTCCAGTGGAAAGTGGTGTCTGGGACCCACCCTCCCCACAGCCAGGGGCAGGTTCTGGGACCGTAACACGTATTTAAATCATTACACATAAAGCTGTCTTGGTAGGAAGGGCTGTAACAGAAAACCCAGCAAACCAGCCGATGTGCCAGCGAGGCAGTTTGTTTTTGCAAGGTATCTCCCGGAGCTCGGGAGGGCGCACAATTAAACTTCAAAGTGAGAAATGGAGGAGCCCGAGCTGCTCAGGGTGGGAGCTGCAGGACACTCCACCTTCCTCCCAAACCCCGCAACACACAGACCAGACTGCTCCGAGCTGGGCTCACCCGGGGACCAGACTCACCTCCTGGGCTGCCCCTTCCCAGACTGCAAGCCCAGTGCCATCACAAACATGGCAGCTGGGACCCCACCAGAGACGGGCACGTGTCCATGGGGCCAAGGCAACAGTCAAACTGTACTGGACTTTCTGAGCCCAGGTCATACTGGGAATCAGAATTCCCAGTGCTCACGTCAAAATAGCCTATGGAAATCTTAAGTTCTGCCGTATCCATTTAGCAGCGGCAACAGAAAGCTGATTAGCAGGTGTGTGTTTAAACAGATTATTTTCAGCTGAGGCTACTGTTGATTTTCTCACACCTTGTCAACAAATGAGGGCTGGCTGGCTTATTTTATTTACTTTTTTAACTTTTTTTTTTTAATTAAAAATAATCATTTTAAAGCCAGGTAGCACTGCAGACCTGAGTAGTTATTAATTTCTGTGAATAAATCCCCTCCCTTTCCAGGCTGAGGAGAGCAGCCCAGAGGCGTGACGTGGGCCAGACAAAGGAGCTGCATGAAGATAAATGTCTCAGTGAAACCACGGCCTGGAAACCTCACAAAGGGGAGGGAGCCCGAGGCTGCCATCCAGATGCTCCTGCGGAGGGAAGGGCTGGTGGCCTCATCCCACCAGCCACCATCCCCCCGCTCTGACAGCTCTGGTGTCACAGATCCATCAGGTTTGGTCACGTTTGAAGTTTTTCTGGTTTTTTTTCTAGTTATCAACGTACTGAATGGCATATTCCTGCAATGGGAGTCCCTCAGAGGAGCTCAGCAGGGCACTAATCAAAGCATGGAGGTAACAAGTTTACAGGAAGCTCATTTAAGAGGGAGGCACCCTTAAGAAGAACTAAGCTTTCAACAAAACAAACCCAAACCCACTCCCAAAAAGACACCAAACCACCACCAAAAAGCAGTGATGGGCAAAGTGCCAGCCAGCTTCTGGTCTGCCCATCTAAGCCGAGTTTTCCCTTTCCTGAGGAGTGACAAACTGAACCTAGGTCAGCAAAGGAAAAATAATGTTGACGATAGGGGCACAGGGAAGAATAGAGGCTGCTCTGCTCTGACAGCAACTCTTCTGAAGTCGTTTCCATGAGAAGTTAAACAAATGGGTTTGCCCACGTCACACGTTTGTACGCAATAAAATAGGTGAGTCTCATTCACATTATTTATAACACAACTTTGTAAGAATGCAAGAAACGCGTTTCCCCACTGAAACTCTAGTTCTGCTGACAGAAGCTGCTGCAGCTGCCGGGGGACACAGCCCTCTACCCTGCTGCTCCTTCCCCTTCCTCTGCTCCTTCAGCCACAGGCTGAGCCAGGCCCAGGGGCTTCAGCAGAACAGCACTTGGAGCCACTAGACTTCACTGGCAGAGGTCCCCGGGCACACAGCAGTGCCAGCACAGGGGGACTGAGGAAGGACAGGCTCTCTCAAAGCCAGCCCCTACTGAGACCTGCCCAAAACAACTGCAAAACCACAGCCCAGGTGCTGCATCAGGGGGAGGGTGAAGAGCTGCAGCTCCACAGATGCCAGACTGCACCACGCTCGAGAAAAGCCTCAGCTTTCTGGTACCACGCTTCCATGAAAGAAAACACTACAACCTTCTGCAGTGCCTTTGGTGCTCTCTCTGTCTAGTAAGGTTGTGAGGCTTTCTCTGCTTCTCATACTCCCCATTCTCATGTCTGCAGTTTTATGCATCATCAAGCTTCCAGAAAGCTGCATTCTAACATGGAATCATTGAATGGTTTGGGTTGGAAGGGACCTTAAAGACCATCCAGTTCCAACCCCCCTTCCACCAGACCAGGTTGCTCCAAGCCCCGTCCAACCTGACCTTGAACCCCTCCAGGGCTGGGGCAGCCACAGCTTCTCTGGGCAACCTGTTCCAGCATCTCACCACCCTCACAGCCAAGAATTTCTTCCTAATATCTAATCTAAATCTCCCCTCTCTCAGTTTAAAGCTGCTACCCCTCATCCTATCACTACGTGCCCCTGTAACCCCTCTCAGTTGGGTGACAGTAACAGGGACAGAGCTGGGCTCTGCTGCCTCAGCCGGGTGCACGGGGAGACCCCTCCCTCCCCACCAGGCTTCCAGCTCTGAGTCGTTGCCAGGGAATGCCCACCTCGACTAATCAGTGTTAAAAAATAAATCTGAACATTAACTGCACCACCTGCACGTAACAAGACCAACATTCACGCTCCGACTTGGCTGCGATAATGCCCAGCTTCCAAAGCATGTGAAAATAAACATTTCCAACTTCTCAATAATAAGTGACGTATCTGAAACTGCTCCACATGCTTTACTTCTGCTTTCAAAGCCTTTTTTTCTTTTTTAAAGGGGCTTCATCACAACAGAAGCGTGCTTTTATGAAACGCTAGCTTCACTTTCAAGTGCCATCATTTTCAATCCAATGACTTTTTTCACTCCACAAGACGATTCTGCTTCAAGTTCTAATAAGTTACATGAATTTACCGTTAAATGCAATTAAATCGAGCTTCAAAGTTGGCAAAACCAGCCCCCACACATTATGGCTCAATTTCACATTATAGCTGTCCACTAGGATGAGTTCAAAGATTAAATCCCATTAGCCTGATAGCTTTTCCTCCTGTTCATTTTACACTCACTCACCTACAAGCCACTAAGGCTTGTAAAAATGCAGATTTTTGCGCAGCGTATTGTACAGGTTGATGGATTTTTGTCAGCAAGTCTCTAGGAGACAGCGTGCAAATGAATTAAGGATCAAACAGAAGTATATATACCCTCTAAGGAGCCCTCTCGTTTTTAAGAAAGCATTTTTGGTCATGGGGTGGATGTTTTGGGAGGAGGCCCCGCTGGGCGCAGGCAGATTGGTGCCAGGAATTCGGTGAACCTGGGGTCAGGCTCCCAGGGCTCCAGGGAAATCCAGCGACTAAAGCATCCGAGCAGAATCCAGCTGGGGAATGAAATGACTGCCATTACAGCACTGGGGCATCTGTCCTCCCACAGATCTGGTTTGCTGTGTTTCTGTTCTCGTGAAGAATACAAAAATAAAATACTTACCTAGTTCTCCTCGAAGGTTAACTAGTTCTTGAGATAACTCCTTCCGGTGTTTCAGAGCTTCCTCCCTCTGCAGAGAGAAAAAAAAAAAAACAACAAACAAACCCAAATATTTGGTTACTAGTGATCCAAGCAGGGCACCTTCCAATAATTAACTTACATGTGTCCTGTAGGAAAACAAGAGGCAGGAGCAAGAAGCCAAGATATGAATCATGTAGGATAACAGTTCTGCTGTTACAAAATACACAGATGTTCTGCTGTTGTTAAGGAAGTTGTACTTTAAAACAAAGACCAGCTATTTTCCAGGATAACGCTGCAATTGAAATCCTAGTTTGCAGCAATTAATTATATATTTTATGGTGGGTGTAGCAACATAAGGCTCACAGAACAAATCAACCGAGAGCTGTCAAGGGCACAAAAGTGTGGTACATACATGAAAGAGGCAAGCATTAAATATTTATCTTAGGCTTATTCAGACACAAACCCGAGGACTCTGCTAAATCCCTGGTCCTCCCCACGGGAAGGGCACAGCCCAGTGCAAAGTTGGACACAGCCCACCCCACCGCCCGCCGGCCTTAAAATTTAAGGGAGATGATGGTCCTCACACCGAGAGAATCACAACCCATCTGTGCTGGGAAGGAGCAGAGGAGCCCACCTCCCCATCTCCTGTCCCCTCTGTCCCCAGCCCCACGCCCTGGGGACGGCCAGGTCCACGGCCGAGCCGCTCCGGGGCTGGGTGACCGTCACCTCGCACCCAGGGGACAAGGTCCAGGCTTCCCGCTGCCGAGGTGCTCCCGGGGAAAGAAATCCTCATTACCCTCGCTGCGGCACACTGAGAATAGAGGCAGAGTTTGCTGCTGGAGCAGCCCATCTTCCAGCTCCGGCGGGGTCCCCCCGGCGCTCATGGGTGACGGGCAGGTGGTGGCAAGCGCCAGCCAAGGCCGGGCTGGTGCGGTGGTGGTGGCCCAGCGGCGAGGCTGGACCTTGTCTCTCCCCAGGTTATCCCACTTCCGCGCCGATGGCTCCCGGCAGCAGCGGCAGATACTGCGGCTTCTGCAATTGGCACAGGCAGCCAGCGAGCGCTTAAAGCCACAGCCCTGCTTTTAGCGCAGCCCAGACCCACACCTCACCCCAGCCCTCGCTCCCCCGGCGACCAAAGGCAGCCAGACCCTTCTCCCCGGGTAACCGAGATGATGATTATTTATTTTTTTTTTTAAGCCGGGTGCTTGCTTTCACACTTCATTTGTGGATGCAAAAAATGAAGCGGCGGGAGGCCGGAGCTGAATGGGGGAGATGCAGCTACAGCAGCTTCACCACCCTCAGTCACAGCTCAACTTTTCATCCTTTTGCCTCAGCCAGGACACACAGGGGGGGGAAAAATACACCCCCCACCCCCCCCCCCAACAAAATCAGAATTTTTCCATTAGCTACCGCACACCTGAGCGCAGCCCATGGGTTCCCACACTGGCAGGGCCACTCCTGCACCTGCTTCTTCCCAGGGAAAACCTCACCTTTAGAGCCCATTTCTCCCTTTCCCCCCCATCACTAACACCTGCCCTTGCTCACTGGGTCGCCTGGCTTAAGAGCATCCTGTCCTGGAGGTGGGGAATACCCATTACAGAACCTATAAAGCAGTAAAACGCTCCATTCTTAAGAAAAAAAAAAGAAATAGAGGGAGGGAGCCCCCAGAAACCAGTCATGTATTAAGGTCTGACACAAGACTAATCAAAATGAGTGATTTTTATGCTACGCACTCTCATCTGCTGCAAGTTACAGGGAATTATTCTGCAGCTGAAAAGGTGGGTTAGAAGAAAAAAGCCAGCCCTTTCCTAGAAATATTTGTATTTTTGACCTCGGATGGGGAAAGCTCCCCCTTTTCATCACTCCCCTTTAAGTGGTGATACCAGTCATGTGGACACTGACACGCTGGCATTAAGTAGCCGCGTTGCAGTTTCACATGAAGCACTCGGAGGCTCTTTGGGGTGAGGGTGGGCAGAGATTGAAGCCCACGCCTCGCCCATCACAGGGAATTCCCAGGGGAGCAGGGCGCTGGGTTATTGAAGGACTCTCTTCTCTGTGAGGGGAGGAGATGAGTCATCTCCCCACCACCCCCAGCCCAGCACCCGGCCCCAGAGGGACACGGCAGCAGAGGGTGAAATGGTGATGCTGCAGGGAGTTGTGTGAGCTGCATCCCAGCACTGGGGCACAACCACCCCGTGGGTTCACAGAGCCAGTCACACAGCCACAGCACTTCTATTTACGTGCTGCAGGATCCCAGTGGGATTTTCCAAAGCTTTTCCCATCACCTTACCCATTATTCAATTAGCAGACAAACTCACTTAAGAGATTTTTTTTATTATTATTAGTGTTTTTAATAATGTGCTCCCTCCCCCTTGGTTTGCATATTTAATCTTTATTCTAGTTCTCAAAAAGTCATTTTTGAACCTGAATTCTTCCAGCCCACTCTGTCAGTAAAACATCACAAATCCTGCCCCCTCAGCCTCCCGGCTGGACCACACTGCAGACCCTTTGGCATCACTAACAACTTTGGTCAGTGTTTCCAGAAGGCCTCCTCCATCATCCACACGTTTTGCATTTGTTTTTAACTGTAGCAATTTGATGAGAAAAAGGCATTTGAGATCAGAATATACTAAGGACTGACAGAGGCTGGAACTAAAAACCCAAAATAGAGTAACACTGCCTTACTAATTTTTCTTTTTTTCATGTTTCTTGCTCTCTGCTGCTCTTTAGCCCTTTTCCCTGGTGCTGTTTAACCCCCAGCCTCTGCCTCCTGCTTGTCCATTCATACTTTCACAAATCAAGAAATGCAGACAGAGACTTCTATCACCACCTCCTGCTAAAGAATATATTCAGAAGCAGCTATCCATAGAGACCACCAGCCTAAAATCAGAGGAATAAGTTGTTCATAAGGTTAAGCAGCCACACCAAGCAGTCAGACTGACGAGCAGTTAATTTAGCCCACTTCTAAGCTCTGAGAGAACTGAGGCTCCAGGTACAGGGGTCTTCCCAAGAAAACATGGAAGCTCCCAAGACCCAAAATCTAAGTGCAGATTGGATAAGGCAGTAAAGGCCACCTTCAGTATTGTATTTAAAGACAGGGAGCACGTGCTTTGGGCTGGAATATCGAACAACCTTCTGTTTTATGCTTCCCAAGCTTCTTGTTGAAATATCAGTGTCAGAAATTGAAAGAGCAGAACCAGGTGGGAACATCCAGGATCAAGCCATTTTGCCAGGTTTATCTGGATAAATAAAGCAAGCCAGCGGAGATCATTCCCGCTTAGTTGTCAGGGACTCAAGGAGGGTATTCACACCAATTTAAAGCTGCTTCTGGCAGAATATCTGAGTTTACGCCAACATCACGTAGGATGACTGGGTATAACTACTTTTCTTATTTCTAAAGAATTACTGTAGGTGCACAAGAAATCCAGCTGAGCCTAGATGTTCTCCCTTATCATAAACATCCCTCAGTCACAGCTCAACTTTTCATCCTTTTGCCTCAGCCAGGACACACAGGGGGGGGAAAAATACACCCCCCACCCACCCCCCCAACAAAATCAGAATTTTTCCATTAGCTACCGCACACCTGAGCGCAGCCCATGGGTTCCCACACTGGCAGGGCCACTCCTGCACCTGCTTCTTCCCAGGGAAAACCTCACCTTTAGAGCCCATTTCTCCCTTTCCCCCCCATCACTAACACCTGCCCTTGCTCACTGGGTCGCCTGGCTTAAGAGCATCCTGTCCTGGAGGTGGGGAATACCCATTACAGAACCTATAAAGCAGTAAAACGCTCCATTCTTAAGAAAAAAAAAAGAAATAGAGGGAGGGAGCCCCCAGAAACCAGTCATGTATTAAGGTCTGACACAAGACTAATCAAAATGAGTGATTTTTATGCTACGCACTCTCATCTGCTGCAAGTTACAGGGAATTATTCTGCAGCTGAAAAGGTGGGTTAGAAGAAAAAAGCCAGCCCTTTCCTAAAAATATTTGTATTTTTGACCTCGGATGGGGAAAGCTCCCCCTTTTCATCACTCCCCTTTAAGTGGTGATACCAGTCATGTGGACACTGACACGCTGGCATTAAGTAGCCGCGTTGCAGTTTCACATGAAGCACTCGGAGGCTCTTTGGGGTGAGGGTGGGCAGAGATTGAAGCCCACGCCTCGCCCATCACAGGGAATTCCCAGGGGAGCAGGGCGCTGGGTTATTGAAGGACTCTCTTCTCTGTGAGGGGAGGAGATGAGTCATCTCCCCACCACCCCCAGCTCAGCACCCGGCCCCAGAGGGACACGGCAGCAGAGGGTGAAATGGTGATGCTGCAGGGAGTTGTGTGAGCTGCATCCCAGCACTGGGGCACAACCACCCCGTGGGTTCACAGAGCCAGTCCCACGGCCAAAGCACTTCTATTTACATGCTGCAGGATTCCAGTGGGATTTTCCAAAGCTTTTCCAGTAACCTTACCCATTATTAAATTAGCAGACAAACTCACTTAAGAGATTTTTATTATTATTATTATTATTTTTTAATAATGTGCCCCCTCCCCCTTGGTTTGCATATTTAATCTTTATTCTAATTCTCAAAAAGTCATTTTTGAACCTGAATTCTTCCAGCCCAGTCTGCCAGTATAACATCACAAATCCTGCCCCCTCAGCCTCCCGGCTGGACCGTGCTGCAGACCCTTTGGCATCACTAACAACTTTGGTCAGTGTTTCCAGAAGGCCTCCTCCATCATCCACACGTTTTGCATTTGTTTTTAACTGTAGCAATTTGATGAGAAAAAGGCATTTGAGATCAGAATATACTAAGGACTGACAGAGGCTGGAACTAAAAACCCAAAATAGAGTAACACTGCCTTACTAATTTTTCTTTTTTTCATGTTTCTTGCTCTCTGCTGCTCTTTAGCCCTTTTCCCTGGTGCTGTTTAACCCCCAGCCTCTGCCTCCTGCTTGTCCATTCATACTTTCACAAATCAAGAAATGCAGACAGAGACTTGTATCACCACCTCCTGCTAAAGAATATATTCAGAAGCAGCTATCCATAGAGACCACCAGCCT